GCTGAATTAATAAATTCCTGATGAAACGATTTGATTCAGATTCAGCCAAGCAGTTCAAGCAATTACACAATGATGACTGAGGAAACCTCTGAGTATTTGTTCTCCAGTTTAAGAATTGATCTTGGGGGCACAAAGCCATTGAAAGATGAACTGATGAAGGAAAATGCACGCAAGTTCAAGAACAGCTGGTACATGTCATCTAATAGATTTGTAAAATATTATTATTCGCTGTTGAATTGCATGGAGCCTGGAACAGAGGCCAGAACTAGTTAAAAATGGTTAGTTGAGGCATGTTCTGCATACTTCACAGAGCAAATTGAAAGAGACTCTGTTTTGTTTACTGGAGAAGAGAAGGGACATGATTTGAACGAAGACAGTCCACTTTGTTATTTTATTAGACTGATGGAAAACAATTTTTGTCATGAGGCATGTAATCCAACTTCCTATCTATTAAGTTTTTAAAATCATTTCTATGAACATGCAGTAGTTGAGTGCAGCCAGACCCTTTAGTTGCCATGACAGCAAGGCCTTTCTCTCCTTTCCTTTCAAACTCCACTGATGATGTTCAACAGTAGAATTCCCCCTGATTTATCATATAATTGTGAAGTTACTTTTTTATGTAACGAAAGGCTTAAGGTCCCCATTGTTTTGAGGCTGGTGGCTTAAATCACATTAATTTTGATTAATGTCAGATTCTCAGATATAGATTTTTTTAACTTTTAGCGAAAGTCATGACACCAAGGAAGCGGCAAAAGTAGTTGGCACAAAAAGTAAAAATCAATAAGAATCATCTTTGGACATGCATCCCTTAACCTCCCCCTATGCACTGAACTGAACATCACAGATGGAAGAAATACGATTTATAGCACCATCTGTTGACTGTATACTGCCACTGCAACAGAAAATCATGGAATGAGTCAGAGTATTGTCAAAGAACAGTTTTAATAAAAAATAAAGAAAAAGCTCCAGGTACTGTGTCTGACAGAGCAGACTCTGGGTGCAATGCTTTATGACAGACAGTTATACATTTCACGAGTAGAGAACAAAACATTTACTAAGAAAAAGAGAGAATTTAACAAATTAAAAATGATATCAGTAGGATGCAGAACTGTTGGTTGAAACATCAATTGTGATGCAAAGAGTGTATACTTACATGGAATCCTGAAGAAATATAAAACCTCCATGCTGCACTTATCAGCAAATGTTAATGTTAAAACATGGTTTAATTCAGGCCAGGGCAACATTAATAAAAACAAAAAGCCTCTGTGGGTGACTGTAGGAGTTACAAAAAGACCAGTAGTAAGAAGTGTTATTTCTTAGCGAATGAGATCTTCATGGCGTTTGCTTGAGTGATCTTAAAGCCTTGCAGTGCGTCACGTGCGGCACCCGCCTGCACTTCGTTCTCAAACTCCACAAAGGCGATATCGTGACGACCTGGGACCAGACGCACTTCCTTGAACCCAGGGAACCTGTAAACCCACCACAATAGAGTCAGTCTCGAACTAACATAAAACAACACTTAAATATCTTATGCAGACATGTAACGGGTACTGACTGGTTGAAGAGCATGGACAGCATGAGCTCGTTCGTCTCCTCTGGCAGGTTTGTGAGGAAGAGGATGTGATTGGGAGGATTTTCTGCCACCTGTGAGGACAAAAACTGACGAGGTCAGAAAAAAAATACCAACACAAAATGACAGCTTATATTTTAGAAAAATAAAATACATGTTGTGACAGAAGGTGCACTACCTGCTGGGGCATTTGTCCAGGCATCTGTCCTGGCATCATCTGGCCAGGAGGCATGGCACCAGGGGGCATCTGACCAGGGGCCATCCCTGGGGGAGGCATCATGCCAGGAGGGGGCATGTAAGGTGGCTGTCCTGGCATGTGCATCATACGGGGAGCCTGGCTCATGGGCGGCATTCCCTTCAGAGCGACATGAAATGGTATAACATTTAAGAGCAGCCCACCAATTTCATCAGCACAGTTTCATAGAAAACAGGAGTCAGTTAACAGTTGTTTGAGTGAACACACATTTTCATCTTGAACCTTGCCCTTAGTGGTGGGCGATGTAATGATCTTAGATCGTGAAGGATTTTAACGTGCTGATGATCTGCCAAAGCAGAGAATCGTAGAACCGGGCTTATGTGTTTATTTAAACTCTTCTGTCAGTAAAACTTACTTTGATCATGTGTCACAGAATGAACACATTTTGTATTATGCTTGATTATATATAAACAAAACTAAAGTTAGTCCAATGATGTCATAAAAAAACAACAAAGGCTGCAGAGCCTGTATGAAGCTTCAGCTGAGGAACTCTGCAGGGCTAAAATAGAACAGAAACACAAGAACTAAGTCTACATGTTTTTAAATGAATGCATCACTGCGTGAAAATGTTCCTGATGAACATAAAAAGAGGACACATAACTAAATCATGATTTCAAAGTGGTGAGGAAAACCTTCAAATTGTTCATAAATATTGATCGAATTGAGGGAAAGACGTTTCTGGTGCTAAAGATGTTCTGGGTGAGAGACCTGCAGACCTCCTACAAAAGATGTTTTTCAAATAGATTAAACTTGTCAGCGCAGTTTTTGTGCATTTAAAAACATTATACAGGTAAATAAGTTTGGTTGAACTGGTCAGTAACTTACAAATTTGTCTAAAGAACAGTATGAAAAAAATCGTGATCTTGCCAAAAATAAATAGTGATATGATATTTTTCCCATATCGCCCACCTCTACGTGCCCTTATTCTTTTGCTTCAGCTAAGGGGGCACAGAAAGGAGAAATCCATCTAAACTAGTAAGTCAGGAATCCCAACAGTTTGCTACTCTCATCTAATAATGTGTACTCACTTGATACTTAAATACATTACGTTATTGAAACTGCAGTTCAAGTAAAAAACATCCACTTACAGGTATGGCTGCAGGAACCCCAGCAACCATAGGTGCACCAGCTGCACCCTTCTTAACTCCAGATGACTCTGGTCCTTTGAGCTTCTTTCTCTCCTTTTTACGGTCACGCTCCACATAAGTCCCCTTCATTTTAGCGATAATGTCCGAGTCTATCTTCGCATACTGGATACGCTGTAAAGAGAAACAGAATCAGCACCAGCAGACAATTCATAGGCTGAAGTTTATGGTCAGGAGAATTTGCCACGATACTTTGCACGTGTTATTCTCACGGGGGAAAACGTGTCAATAACCTGGGCCGTTTCCGAATAGCCACAGTTCAGTAGGCAGTGTGTACTTTTCAGTAGGGAGTTTCAGTGTTATGAACTTTCGTGGTCATTCAGTATGCATTTTTTGGGTCCACCTCAGTATACTGAACATTTCAGTATGGATACTAACTTCCGGGTTTCATGCAGTATTGATCGGATGCGTGCTTTCAGGACATGAATTGTATTTTACCACCCACAATGCTGTGCGAAATTAAACGTAAATCGTTACTTCATGTCCGCCTCCAAATCAAAACAAATGAAAATGAATTTTTAATCCAGAGTTGAAGTCCCGACTGAAATCACTACTTTTAATTAACAACAGAAAATATAACAAATATCTGCATTATTATAAAACCTTTCCCCCTCTATCTAAATAATGATTTCACGATTTAAATGCGTCTTTATTGTTTTACTTTACTTTATATTCTGTAAATGCTAAATGGACTTGAGCTTATATAGCGCTTTTCTAGTCTTCCGACTACTCAAAGCGCTTTTACACCGCAGGTCACACCTACACATTCACACACTGATGGTAGTGATCCCTATGTATCATCCATCAGAAGTAACTAATCCCATTCATACACCGCCGCCGAAGCAGTGGGAGCAATTCAGGATTAAGCGTCTTGCCCAAGGACACATCGGACATGTTGCCCAGCTGGGGATCAAACCCTCGACCTTCCTGTTGACAGGCGACGACTCTACCAACTGAGCCACAGCCGCCCTGTATATTACCGTCTTTCATTTGTACTTTCCTTTATGTACTGCATGTTATTTAATCTGTCTTTTACTTGATTTACATTGTGATATTGTTTTTTGTTTACCTGACTGTATGTGCGCATTACTCTTCTTGAATAAAGCTAAACAAAACAAAAAAAACGTCACTTGCTTACTGAATGAATCAGATGAAGTAGGGACAAATATCTGCCTACAGTGTGTGCATACTGAATAGTAGGTACTAAACAGTGTGCAGCACAGATAGTAGGTACTGACACCTGACAGACTGAGCATGTACTTGGCAGTTCGGATACAGCACCTGGTGTTGATTGTGATGAACCTACCATCGGTTTGTCGTAGAAAGGAAAGCCCTGCATGGATCTCAGAGCATTGGAGGCGCTGTTTACCTCTTTGAAAATAACAAAGGCCTGACCCTTCATCTTTATGTTTCGTGCGACCAAAATGTCCAAAATTTGTCCGAATTGTGAGAAGATGGCGTAAAGAGACTTCTTCAACTCTGCAAAAAAAAACAAGAAACACCATGGAGTTATTGTGAGTTGGGGGGGAGACCCCGTAGTGACACCTGGAGGCTACAGCTGCGGATAAACTCACCATCTTTTTTTATTTTCTCGTTCAAGTTGTTGATGTAGATTGTGTGATTGAGCCGGACGTCCGTGGTGGCCATATTTTAACCTGGTAGGAGTTACGAAAAAAAACCATGAAACTATTAATTTTAAACCACAATCGTTGTCAAACCACGTGAATAAACGTGGGGAGGTTACGCACAGCTAACAGCTAGCTCACTAATAGCTCACATTTGCTGGATAAACTCCCTACTGAGCTCCCTCTTTGACACAAAAACACATTACCTAAGGCACACAATCGACCAAAACACGACTGAGTTATATAAATATATAAGAAAAGGCTTCTTTCTTTTTAAAAAAGCTAGATGTGGAAGAAATACTCACCGCGGAATGATCAATGAATAATACCCGGGTCTTCACAGATCCCGTGCGTTGTTCTCGCGATAGGCTATGTACCACCAGGAATACAGCAGTTTCCGGTGTTGCATTCTATTCTGTTCGCCGTCAGATTATGTGACCACTTTTTGAGTAACCCGTAATCTTACTATCAATATTAAGATAATTTGTTTTTAAGCATGTGGTATTAGGATAGGTTTATTGTATTTGTGTGAGGGATAATGTTTTACAGGAGAAAGTTGTTGCACTTCTGCAAACAGAGAGCAACACGAGTGAAGATAACTGTACAAGATGCGAGCCCTCCTCCTAGATACTCACTTTAGCTAAATTGTTGAAGGTAGGAAGAGTGAAAGGTGGGCCGGTCGATTGTGCGTTTAAGTTTTAGTTAACTGTTGTATAAGCTGTCAAGAACTAATGCAACTTCTCTCTATGCAAAGATGCAAACATGTCTAACCACTTTACCTTTTTATTTGTTTTCCAAAAGGAGCATCAAAAGGATGTCATTAGAGTGCCCAATGTCACTTTCACCCCCTCCTCCTCCTCCTCCTCCACCTCCACCTCCTCCTGCTCCAGGCCCTCCTCCTCCTCCTCATCCTGCTCAAGGCCCTCCTCCTCCTGCTCCAGGCCTTCCTCCTCCACCTCCACCTCCTCCACCTCCTCCTGCTCAAGGCCTTCCTCCTCCACCTCCACCTCCTCCACCTCCTCCTGGTCCAGGCCCTCCTCCTCTGGCCTCAGCACCTAAGAAGAAACTCTATCAGACCATAGCCAGTAGCAGGAGTCCTGTGAAAGGGGACCACACTGAGGCCCGCTTACTGCTCAGTCAGCGAGAGAGCAGGTGAGATCAAAAATGAAAAGACCAACTTTTTTCTAGCATCTAGCTTTACCACCTGTTTACCACCTTTATATGGTAAACATGGACATTGCATTGGACTAGAATCTCAGCTCAGGACTGCACAGTTATTATTATTATTCACCATGAACCATACTCTGTTGACAGTATTCCTCCCAGGCTACTGAAATTCAATTCAATTCAATTCAAAAAACTTTATTTGTCCCCAGGGGGCAATTCAAAGGCACACAGAGCAGTAAATTAACAACAGTGCAAGTAAACAAAACATTTTAACCTAAATATAAAATGTCAATTTAAATGCAACTTAAAGCTTAAATTTAACTTAAAATACAAAATATAAAAGAGTAGATGTAAGTGGACAGTGATCGGACTAACAGATGTAAACAGATGTAAACAGAACTATGTGCAGTAAACGAGAAATAAATATATATATATACAGAGCTATGTGCAAGTAGGCAAATACTAAATGATAAGTTATTAAGGTGCATGGTGAATAATGGAACAACATTTCTGCATGACTGTTGGGTCATGCAGTCTTTAGTAACAGCTTCATTTATTCACATCCTGTTTGTTTAAAACCTTTATTAGTCTGGTGATATTTTTATACCCAAAATCTGACACGTGTTGTCATGCTTGTTCTACATACATACAATGATACAAAACGTTGTAATTTTATTTATTTATTTTTGCAGCAAAGAAATTTGAGCACGACGACTCAGGTCATTCCACACACCTTCACAACTTTGTGATGGTTCAAATTTGTACATTTTGTTGTAATTCACATGGACGTGTTTTTCTCTATTTTGAGGTCAGGTGAAAAGGTAAATCATTAACAGACAAACCTGAAACTTTTGTTTTAATTAATTTATAATGCAACTAAGTTTCATAAACAAATGGCAATAATCCCAGGTGTCAGGATATTGATTTTTTTTCTTCTAAAATTTTTTCCTTTCTTTACATTTTAACACCTGAGGCTTAAAGAAACTGAATTTCAAAGCTCTATTGTTGTTTTACTGCCATGTGCCTTATCTGAAAACGTGATGCGGATATTTTGTCCATTTTGTTTGCGTAAACACGTGTAGGTGGAAACACCAATAAAATGTAAAATCATCCTGCATGAACAATAATGACAACCTCATGAGTAACACAGAGATGAATCAACCTCCCCCTGCTGCTGTCACAAAAACGTGAATATCATGAGAGTACAAAGAAATGATTGAAAGCTCTTTGTCTCAGGAGACATCTTGACTGGTCAAAGTAGAAAAGAACAGTTGCTCTCACTTATTACAATACAGATGGATCCGTTCAGTTCACAACATTTTTCATTCATCTACTATTTTTCCGACTTTTGACATGTGAAGATGTCTTGAAGGGAACTTTTTGAAGAGCTGTTGAACATGATTACGTGGTAATATTTGAACACAGTGTGTTTGCTTCAGTTTTAGGAAGGACCTGCAGTGGATACTTGTGAACACATATGTGCCCTCCCTCATCCAAGATGGTCCACAGTAAGTCTGTAAACTCACCCAGTGTAATACTTTACAACGACAGTATCACCCTAATCTACAAAAGCACTGATATATAACAAGAGCCAAACTGTTACCGCTACTGTTACATGTACAATGACGTTATTGTGTTATGTGTCTGACCTGAATTAATTCAAGTTCACGTCATTAAACGTGACGCATTTGCCAAGGTGTGACTGTGAGTGTGTCATTCATTTACCCTTTAGGTGTGGTCTGGTGGCTTTGTGGATGTCTGCTCAGCGTTGTCAGTCACAGCTGAGTGTTGACATGGAAACTGTCGTTCAGACAGCGCTGAGCAGGGGATACACGGCTCAGGGGGAAATGTTTTCAGGTAAAAAGACGTGTAGACTGGAATGGGCCTGCCTGTTTTACAGTATATGTAGAAAAGTGTAATGGATAAACGTGTTTTCTTTGACAGCAGAAAAGGCTAAATACAAACCTTAGTCTCACTTTGTGGTGCCTGAAGTGCAAATATTAAACTCCAGAAAAAAAAGATTCAGGATATAAAATTTTCACACTTTGTTGAGTTTATGACAGTTTCTTAATGTTCTTGCTACGACTTTTATTTTGCCAGCTGACAACATGGCCCTCCTGGCAGAGGAGGTGTGTGGCTGTAAGGCAGAACTGCTGTCAGGAGGATTAAGTGGTAAAAATGCTGCGACCATCATTGCACACCTGTGGGGCAGACAGCCTGTTCTCATCCCGTATCCAACGCAGTAACAGACCCGCCATGAGGGGGATTCTAAAGAGAAATCAATTTGTTTTGTCAGTTTTGTGGCTGTTTTTTTTTTTTTTTTATGCTACTCAGCTCCATTAAAGAGGAGTTCATGATTAAAGAACAGAATTCCTTGACAGTAATGAACAGATATGATGAGGACTACAACCATGAGCCGTGCCAGCGCAGTGGTCACAGGGCGCACTGGGCGGTCGCTTCAGGTGAGACTAGATAACTCACTCACTAGTGACCTCACTGGTGACCTTACAGAACCGGGATCAGTTTGCTTCATAAAGGTGTTATAGAGTTGATGTTAACAGAGCAGACACATTAAGCATAGATCACAACAACCTAGAGTGCAGAAAATGGACCACTGATTACTGCATTAGCATAGAGCATCACATCTTAAACATGGTATACTCCAAAGAGTACAATCAAATCATTGCACAAATAAATATTTCAGGCAGCATGTTGTTCACCTACAGAGAGCTCCAGCTGCCTCAAGTTGAGAGACAGATGTTTGCTCAGATGTTTTGGCTCTGTCTGTCGTTGTTTTAATTGTGGTTAAAGTCCAGCTTTGAGAAATATTAACTGTTTTTATAGAACTGAAACTCTAACCCTTAACACCAAGCTGTAGATATAATGGAGTCACAAATACTGCTTTATATACCTCACATGGAATGTCTAACACTTCCTGCATGATTAATACATTAGTTCTAGGATGCATTGTCCTTAAATTGTTGTTCATAAATGTAACGGGAGAATTGTTAGGAAAATGTTTCTTTCAATAATGCAGCAGCCTTATAGGTGTTTACTAGCTTATTCTAGTTTTGGTGCACATTTAAAGCACATACGATTACTTGATTACTGTTCAGGAATTTAAGAATGAAAGAGAAGATTGGGACCTCAGGTTCTTTCCCAAAATCTTATGTCATGTCAACATTGTGACATGAATTCGTAATGGAAACCAACATGTGTTACAGCGTGAAAGGGGAGCCTTGGTAAAAAGCACAGTTTAGCTAAATGAATTGTTTGAGACTTAAAACCAGCCTGACCCGGATCAAGATACTTAGGAGAGCTAAAAACAAACAGGTCACAGATATTTAAACCGGCTAAATGAGACACATTTTGGGATAACTAATCCTTTAACATTCATTTTGATGTTTTAAACTCATCTCTGCACTTTAAAAATCCAGTCATGCGACTTGAACCCTGTCTATTGGTTCCAGGTGTTCTCCTGGGTTTAGACCAGGGGAGTGTGAGCAAAGAGCACACCCAACCTGATCCCACTCTGCCCTGGCTCCACCTCACCACTGACCGCAGCTCCTCTTGTCCTGTTGGAGCAGCGGTCAAAGAGCTCTACATCCTGGCTAAGCAGGGTAAAAGCCTGCGCTACCAGCTGTGGAGTTGGGACAGCGTCGCCCATAGCAACGAGCAGCTGAGGACGATGGACCCTCAGAGGGCTAACGATGGGACCCAGTACGTTGTTCCTCCTGGTGGAGTGGAAGCCGGGCTGGCTGGGAAGGCGGTGTTAATCCACACGATGACACAGGAGCAGCGGCTGTCATGTGGTGAAGCATCACAGTGAGCCGATATGGTGATCCATGGATACATATTTAACACATTTCCAGAATGTTTTACAGCTGAACAGTGTGATGTGTCATTCTGAAAGGGCTTGAACATGTAAACTGTAGTGTCATGGTAGTCTGTAGTTTTTTTGTGGATCCTGTTATGAGATATAAATATTCTTTTGTCTCATTTTAGCATTTCACGCTGTACAAGGCTGTTACTGACGGTGCTGTGGACACAATAATGCCTTACTGCAGTATCAGCAACACTGAATGTATGTATTAATATTATCAAGAGATAAGAGTTAAGAGTTTTTTATTCAGGGCCTAAGTCATTACTTTTATTTTAAAGCAGTTCTATTTTTATTATCAATAAAAAAAGTCTCTTGGTGTGGAAAACATAATAAACTGAATTTGGTACACTTTTACAATACATTTAGCACATTCCTCATTTCATTTCATCTTGATTCATTGCTGACCTGTTCATAATAACAAAAAATATTTCAATACTTAAAAAAAACATGTAGGAGATTTTGAGAGAGAAAAAAACAGACTGAAAATGTGTCATATTTCCAGTTTATTGCATCCATGACCTGGTAATGAATCACTTTTACAGCATGTTTTGTAACTTAAAATACACTGACATTTCCAAAAAATACAAAATTTGGTAATGCTCCAGTTTTCTTTCTACTCATGAGGCAGCATCCAGTTTGAGACCTGATAGTTTACAAATAAAGAAGATTTGTGGGGGGCAGAAATAATTATAATACCTTGTAAACACGTCATTACTCCTGTGTCTCTCTCTCTCTCTCTCCGGGTGTCTCTTCTCTTAGAAATGGAAAAGCTGCCTGAATTAGGATTCTCATTTCATGCAGTCAGATATCTGAAGCACTCATGCAGAAAAAGTTTCTCTTCTGAGTGACTGAACACCTCCACCCCACACAGCGATAGCTCAACCTGACTGAAGTTATCTGGAAGACTTGAGCCCGATGTGTTTACTGCCCTGCCACATTCCAGTCAAAGAATGACGGATATGAAGCACTGACCTAATTTCTAAACAATATTAGTTCTTTGTAAACTCTCCATCGTGCATACAAATATTCAAACCCACAAATCCTCTTAAGTGTAACTAAATGGATTATTTTTTTGTATTTGATTGTACGTCATCCTTTCAATCATTCTGTAAGACACTAAAACATTCCAGTTTAAGATCATGTGCGAGTGGTTTTATAATTGAAACCTCACAAAAGCTTTAAGAGACTGATCAGTTCAATCACAAGTCCAGTTTCCTGTCACTCTTTTCATCAATCGTTTCATTGTAAAACTCTGCAAATCCAAAGCAACACTGATCAGAGAGGATGAAGTGACAACACATCAAATTATTCATGTTCACCTTCTAAATGACAGCATCTGTAAACCCAGCACTCAACTGCTGCTTCCCCTCCTAAGAATCGCAGAGGCACCGCTTGATTTGTTCAATGGCTTCGAGAAATCCACAGTGCAACACATTTTCCAAACACGCATAGGACACAAAGCTGCTTACTGTACAGCTACAAAGATGGGGGGGGGGAAATCTCACTGCATTGTCATAAAAAAAAAAATCTAAATTCAGAAAACCCCACCAGAAGTTAAACTTTGGGATTAAATCTCTCTCCACTTTGGTGAACTCTTTGGAAGAGAAATAGCAGGAGTCCACTGCTCTGGAATGATCAAACAGCTGTAGGCACAGGAAATTGTACAAACAAGGTAAGGAGGTTAAACCAAGGCGAAAAAAAAAATTAAATTAAACCATATGTACACACCAAGTTAGTAAACACATGGTCTGACCAGTGTTTTAGTGTTAATGAGTAGTTAAACATCAATAGTGGTCCATGAGAAAAGAAAATAAACGCCCGTTAATAAATGCTTCTCAAGGGCTGCGAGAAGTTTCATACCTCTGCGTCAAGTTCAGAGTGTTATGTGCATTTTTCACCAGCAGAGGGGGTTGTTCGGGGGCAGAGAAGAGCAACTTTTGTCCAGGGAAATATTCAGAGAACTGTATTCTCTCAAATTAAGCCACAGACTGTGACACTTAAAAATCCTGCATTTAATTCCCTCTCTTTCTCCTTCTAGTCCCATGAATGGAGCATAAAGCATGATGTTGGCAAATTCCACTCTGCATTAGAAATCCTGCCTTTGTCCATCTTCCACTCTTCAACTTGATAAAGACACTTGGATCACGGATTAGGTCATAAAAAAAAGTTGCTACTGGTGGCAGCACTCCTAATCCTCCCTCAGTATTCAGTCCCATTTTTCAAAGTCTGCAGATTTCTTCCCCCATGTGGACATGGATCAATGTTTCAGTGCAGTCTCCTCTGAGTCCCCCTCTCAAGGCGCCTGTGGAAGCATACTGCTGAAGATGTCTATGAGGTTGTCCAGACCCCACAGGTAGCCGTCCTCCCTGTTGCCCTCCATCCAGGGCGTCCTGTGGTCCAGCGTCCGAGGCGCCGGCAGGGGAACTGTCTTCCCGAAGTCGATCATCCACACTCTGGCTTTTCCCGAGGAATCGTGCACAAACAGCAAGGAGCTGCCCACAACCTGGGACAGAGAAACCGGTGACACATGGCGACTTTAGGTGTTTGAGTGTGTTAATACAGAAGCTGATGACAGAATGATATCTTAAACAGGTTTTGCTTTTTGGAAGCTGGAACACCGTGTGTCAGTGTGTCTCACCTCATGTGACCTGAAGAAGTGCGACTGCTCGAGGACCGATCGAAGCTCCTCCAAACGCTGCAGGTACAGTTTCTGAAGAAAAGAGAAACATAAAGAGATGTATGCCATTAGTCAGCAAGAACACTAACAACACCTGTAATTGTTCCTTAATGCAGTTGACGATAAATATTTTTTTTGCCAGAAGCCAGCTAGCTTAGCATGGCAAAGCTAAAGACCTAAAACTCTACAGTTCTTTTCACAGACACTTAAGTCCAAAACAACATACACCTGAGAGTAAGTACAACACAAGCAAGGTTCTAGAGAGGAGGAAACAGCATCAGTAAGTCTGATCGGACACACAGGTGCTGACAGGAAGTGCACTCAACACAGTTAAATATATATATACAGATATATCATCATGAACAACATCAGCAGCTTCTCATGAGAATTCTAATCAGCATCAACACCTTCCTAAATATCATCGTCATCATCATCAATATCATCGTCAGTCTCGTCAACATCATAAAGCCTCTGAAGCTAAAAAACAAAACACTAGATGCTAAATTAAAGCTCCCGTGAGGAACTTTGGGGTTGTGTTGATTCCAAGCTAAGCTAAGCTAATCAGTATCTTGCTGTAGCTATAGACATGTGAGCGTTGTCAATATAGCCATCCTGCTCTCAGGCAAAAAATAATAATACAGAAGTTGAACGTTCTTTAAAAAACAGAGTATTAGCAGTGAACTTACCAGAATCTGAGTGTTGCCACCTACAAAGTCCTCCAAGGCCTTCATCACCTGCTCCCTGTGCTTTGTTTTCTTAAAGTTGGTGTTACAAGTCCCATCAGATTTCTGCGAACATAATTCATAATTCATAAACATGAATTGCACTGCCACAGGTGCTGCTTGTTCCACTGGAAAATGGATCCACAGCAGACTGATGTAAATGTTCAAAGTGTGTCATCAGATGTTTCCATTCACGTCTGAGTAACATGCAAATCTACAGTTTTTGGTCTGCCCTGATAACAAGCCCTGGATTTGTTTTTTTTTGTTGACAGAACAAACAGTTCTCTTTACAGCTACTCGTGCAGCCAATACTGTAACAGAATGCGTTTTCCTTTTCCACTCGAGCACGTGGGCTCTGTCCATAAATATTTTACTCTCAGTGTTTGGTTAGGTTATCTGTATCTCCAGCATGAACCCTCACCTTAATGCCTTCGATGCGGAAGCCCATGGTGGCTGTGGAGCTGAGGGTCTCCCTCCACTGCATGTATCTGGGTTTGAGGACTCCTTGCTGAGCCTTCTCCTGCTCGGTGGGGGCCCCGGGGTCCACTGCCACCATTTTCTCATACATGTCCTTCCTCAGACGGGGTCGTTCTCTAGCTTTAATCAGCTCCTCCTCCAAATATGTCCTAGAAAAATAACACATTTAAAGCATTTATTAATGACATAAACTGTCTTTTTTATAACACAAATACGATAAAAAGTCAACTGTCCGACTGTGTTAAGGTTAAATTCAAGGCTAAGGTTAAACTGAAGTGCTGATAAAATGGCTACCGCTGTAGTTATGATGTGTAGGATGTTTACCATGCACTTGTGCTTTCTTCGTCCTCTACTGGGTCTTACCTGCTGCCCATCTTACAGTCCATTATGGAGGGTGAGTCAAAGTCGGCCAGCAGGTCATCCATCAGGTTGTAGTCCTGCTCATCTCTCTGCACTACGCCGTAATAACCCGGCACGTAGGGCCGCAGGGTGTCCTTCATCAGCTTCTGCAGACACTGCTGCTCACACTCACAGTATTTCTTCAGCAAGCGTCCATACTCCCCAGCTTGGAAGTTACCTTGGAGAAGAGGAAACGGAATAAAGATTACCGACTGAAGACAAAAGAACACACGTGTAGGATCGGAGGGTACATGGTGATGATTAGAATATTTGTGGTTACCTGCATGGCCGGCTAGCTGCACCCATGGGTAGCGCTTCTTGAAGGACACAACAAAGGGGGACCAGTGAACCATGGTCTTCAATTTCTGCCAGGACTTATTCTGGGAAAGACAAAAACGGCAAAGAACGTCATCCTCGCGTTTAAAAGTGGTCCGAGTTTTCACGAATGCTTCGAAGCTGAAATAAATCAGACATTTGGATTTCTTTTCTGCCAAACATAAGCCAGTAGGGTGATTATTCATTGAAGGAAAACACACCCTGCACTGTGCACATAGCCACACACACACCTCAGTAGACATTGGACAGAGCCGCCCCTTTGGCCAAGGTTAGGTGCACAACCTACGTGACACAAAGCCCATTCATAAAACATTTACCAGAGCCACCACTGTTCTGTCGTAAAACAGAATCTTACTGTCCGTAACTGTGTGTGTATATGTGTGTGTATATGTGTGTGTATATGTGTGTGTTTATGTGTGGGCGTGGGTGCAGAATGGTTATCTGCATTGGGAAACACCAGAGCAAGGACAGTTTGCAACAGGGGCTCTTTGACGCAAGCAATCTGAGCGGAACATGACACCGATTGATTAGAACATGAGTGTGTGGGAAATCAAAACAAACGAACAGCCAGTTTAGGATGGGAATGTGTGTGTGTGTGTGTGTGTGTGTGTGTGAGAGTCTGTCGGTATGTGTGCCTGTGTGTGTTACATTAGAGGAGATTTAACTGTACAAAGGAGTACAATAACAATATAATGGAATATTTATTTATACCCCAATCTGAATGTGCAGTTTTTCCTATCATTCCTTTATTTGTTTTTCTGAACACAGAATTGTTTTAAACAAGCACCTGAAAGAAAATGTCAAAACGGATGTGTGACGGAGGATAAAATGTGAGTAATAAATTGCAGGGACATAAGCCTGTACCAACAATAATGCTAATCTTTTTATAACTATGTATCGTCTGCGAATGACTGCTGATTGCAGCCTGCTCTATCGCTTGTTTACATGTCAGTCAGCCTATCACCACATGAATTCTTTCCACAGCTGCTCTGTTGAAACTCTGTCACAACAAAACAGTCCTAATGCAAGAATACACACACGGCGGAAACAGCGAGTCCGTGTTTAACGTAGAAGTTAAACACAGTTATTACAATGTTAAAGGGGGGATGTTTTGTAACACTGGAAGCTTTTTAACGTGCAGATTTAAAACAGGAAAGAGCTTACGCTGTGTAAATACTATCTATGCCGCTATATTTGAATTAATGAGACACAAAACAGCTGATTGTATCTTGGGTTAAACCGTCTGCAGCACTGAGCCCATGCAGTGATGTCCACAAAAGAATTGTGTCCGTTTTTAATGCAGGGCCATCTGAGGACCCGAAGGTCACAGCCACCCAATACTGGTTCTTCACTGAGTGGTTAACTCATTTCACATCCTTACTTGAGATACACTCAGCCTCTCTGGGAGATCCCTTTTTATACCCAATCATGTCACCAACCTGTTGCTAGTCAGCCTAATTAAGTGGAAGATATTTTCCTATTTTCTCCACTGTCCCAATTTTTCTGAAAGGTGTTGCTGGAAAAATGTTCAAAATAGGCAAATCATTTTCGTTAAAGAGTGAAGTTTCTCAGTTTCAACATTTGATATTTTGTCTTTGTGCTATTTCAAATTAGTTGTGGAGTTTCAATGTTTGGAAAATCACCATCCTGTTCTTATTTTCATTTAAAACAACGCTCCAACTCTTTTGGAATTTGGGTTTGTATGTATAACCGCTCACAAGTGTATTTCCAGATTTCAACTTCTGGATTTAATGAGAAAGAGGAGGGGACGTGATAAGGTTTTCCGACTGCATTCAACAGCTGCTGTTCCTCTGCTGGTTCCTCATGATGAAACTGCGTGCAACGGGTCTGTGTTTCGTCGGACAGCTGGTGAACTTCAGGATTTTAGACACACAAGAGGCAGAGAGTAATGAGAGTGAGTACTAGTAGACACCTGTGTGCCGAGCCTTCAATCGCATCAACAGATTAACCCCGAGGTCACCTCTGCTTTCTCAGGACAAAGAACAGTGATGAAACATGGCAACGCCAATTCACATTTCACCAACATTTGCAACATGGAAGCTGCAATCTCCAGGATGAGATCACATCCTGTCTATCATTTGAACATACTTCATTTAACACCAGTTAAACAAGACAGCGCTGGTTTCCATTGAGCCTTACATAAGAATGCCAGAGCCTTTAATGACACATGCTCCTCCGACGTCAATGACCAATTTATCCTGATAAGGGTGAAGACTAGCATGTGCCTCTTCTTAGGGTGCTTTCACATCTTGCGTTTGGTTCATTGGTTCTGGACAGAGAGGTCAATGACTCACATTGTCTTTAGCAAATGAACCAAGAGGACTGATAGTTCACTCTTTATTAGAATAATTTGGATGATGGTCGTCTTCAATCATCAGTGCATCATCAGGATCCACATGGGGGAGAACAAACTGTTGCAGCACTTTAATGCTTCATGACTCTGCAAAGCGACTGCTTGTTGAGTAATGACTAACAGGCAGAGACAGGGTAACTGGAGGCATCTTCTAAACAGATGAGTTGAGGGTAATTACTGGCGATCTCGCTGTCACCCACTTTTTAATGCACTCAATGAACTGACAAAGTACACTGAGCAAAATACAAGCGCAGCACTTTTTAACAGTTTTTGACCTATTAATAAGGGAGACTACTGCACTGATGCACACGGGTTCCCAAATAAAAAGAGGTTACAAGGTCAGGAGGATGACCCATGTTCGACCAAACTAAAAAGCTTCATTGTAAAAGCTACGTGTTTAGTTTAACTTTCTAGGGTTTTCTGTTTTTTTTTTTTTTCAAAGATGACCTTTATTTCTAAACTCTTTAGCCTGAAAATATTTGATAACGTCCTTTCTCAGCATGCATCCTCTTTGCTGTTTTTAAGACGGGAAAGTTGCATTCAAGCGTAGAGAGAAACACTTGACGACTAAGAGACATCCTCCATAACCTTAAACCACATAATCCCCCAGACACTCAGCGTAATAAACCTGCAGACTGTGTTGTTGTGTGGCCTTTAACGTGCTGCTGTGAGATTTTATTGTGAACCCGTTATGTACAGTTCATAACAAAAGGGTCTCAATGCAGGTAAGTGGTAAATTCCTAAATGCACACATGTTGTTTTTGCGTTTATGTAGTTCTTAAAAGTCCCAGAATCAAACTTGACAAATAAGACGCAGAATTTATACACAAACATTTGTTATCCTTGATCGCTGTATTTGCATTTAGGGTGCATGTTTATCATCTTCAATTTGATGATATGGAAATATTCTGCATTGTAGTGCTTTGGCATCAACTTCATGTTCAGTAAGGCATAGCATTCATAACAAATGTGCAAATGTGATAACACCAGATATAGATGTTTCCTGCCAGCTCGACTTATATACTGTAAACAGACAAAAACCTTCAACAGTCTCATGCAAAGAAAAACTCCATAAATAGCCTCTTGTCTTTTAGTCAAATCACAAATATCTAAGCAGCTAGACCACATGAACCTTGCTTTCTTTTCATTCTGCTATTATTAGCTTCATTTGTCCTCATCATTGACGAATGAAAGACCAGGGGGGTTGACAGGGGAAGCAGACACCCAGACCTCCAGCCTCTCTGCTGTCAGCGTTCAGGCTCTCTCTGTAATTGCTCCGAGCTGACAACTTAACAGGTTTCCTCAGTGGGGTCCAAGTGTATGGGACTAAAATAACCGGCTAATGTTTTTATGGACACAAAAGGATGATAAACGCTGTCGAGTCTCTGAATATATGCGAGACGACTTAACTGTTGTTTTCATTTCAAACTGAGCAAACAGTGCAGTCTCTGCTGTCTTCATCCCACACATGGGGAGCTTTTTTAAAACACTTAGGTCATGTAGAACCTCTCACAGTCGAACCTCAGCCAACTCTGCGCTCTCTTTTATATAACTCACATATGCGTCAGGCACAGAATATTTCATCCTTCTTTGTTTTATAAGCGCTCTCTTTTTCTCTCAAGCTCCAATGCAGATGAGTGTGCTGTCAGCCTTCCTATAAACAGGTTATTTTTATATTATTATATCTATTATTATTATTTTATATTACCCCCACCCTCTCTTTAAATCAAATTTAAAGTATCACTACTTCTCATCTCAGTGACTTGATCTTAATCAAATGTCATTTTGTTGCACTTTTGTTTTCACTCTTGTCCCCCTCTTGAATTTGAGGAATGCTGGGAATGTCTCTTGTGCTTGCAATGGCACGTCAATGTAAAATAGCTTTTGACATCAAGAACAGAACTCATTCAGTCATGTACTTCCAAACATTATAAGAACTAGAACCGTTTTTACTTGGAGTTGCTTTACAAATGACTGAGTAACCTGGCAGCTTAACAGAAATAAGACGTAAGCTTTTCTTAAAAGGAACACAGTGCTGAGGTATACAATACAATGTGTGAAATGTTAGACTAACACAAATATAGCTAAATGTGTCATCTGTTTGTAACACTATAGCCTACAAAGTTTAGTACACTGTACTGCGGGGATTCAGGCTTATTTAGGTAGACAATGATTATCTAATGGGCTCTTTTTTCATCTGCTCCCTGCTCTGAAAAACACACGTTAAAACACTAAGAAACTCCTTTGCCAGTAAAGGTATATTTTGCAAAACAAATAAAATAATATAGTTTAATACATTGCTTCAATAAATCTGAGGTGTTTGTTTAAATGTTCATGCTCAGGAATGAGAAACTGTCAGGTATGCCTGTTCGTTAAATCGAAAGTAACAAAATTCAAGTGTGTGACTTTATAAACTATGACAGCCTGAAGCATGATGATCCCGCTGGTTGGCTTACTCACTACTTAACCCAGATAGAGAGATCATCACACAGGACTAACTGCAGACTGTGTGCCCAACAAGCGTCACACACTGTAACAGCAACATCACACTGCCATATTAATCACATGACATTTGAATACGCAAACCTGTCACCACCGTTTTGATATGATCTGTCCTGACCGATCGTGATGTTGGAAAAAGAACACACAAGGCCACGGTGGGCTGAATTGAAATCTGCAGTGGGATACATTTGCCACTTTCCTTCTCCTACCTGGCAAACAGAGCAGTAGTGGAGGAGGAGGCAGGCGCAGACACAGGCGCACACGGCTCCGGAGACAAATCGGGATCGCAGCCAGCACAAAGTACTCCGCACCATCAGCACGGGGTCTCCACAGGCGAGCACCAACAGGGACGTGTGCCTCCCTGTTGTCCTGAGATCCCTCACAATCATCTATAACCCTCTCTTGCTGGGTCTGCTGTTAGCTTCTAGCTAACGTTTAGCCTTATTCCAGCTCCAGTCGGTCAAACTGAGGCTTGTGTTGCCCGGTAAATAATCCTCCTTCTACTTATTTCTCACAATGATCCCCTTCTGCTTCTCGACAACCCAATTGAAAATTTCTCCTGTTTCACCACTCTGTCAATACTCCTTTTGGCTCTTTACACTTTCTCAACACTTAAATCTTCTTTCCTGTCAAAAAAGCTCACCTAAAACTCTAATTTTTCCCTTTTTCCATCAGCCTGTTTGAACAAGCCCCCTTTCCGTTAAATTCCTCCTCTAATTCGTTCCATGTCTCTCCCTGAAGGTACAAACATCCACACAATGATCCGTCTCTCTCTCTCTCTCTCTCTCTCTCCCTGGTTTCTTCGTCTCCTCTGTCCTTTTCATCCCCTAATCCCTGCGAGGCCTATCCTGAGCCCCACACCGAGCCAATCTCCTGCCAGATTCATGACAGACTGGCAGTAGGGGGGGTGACAGCAGAGCTTCCCATACCCTCCCAGTGCTCTCCTTTTGTCCTCATGACAAATTCCTCTGTACCATGTAACCTACATAGGTGTGTGTGTGTATAAGTGTGTGTGTGAAGACAAAGCAGAACCTGTCAGACAACTACAGGAGTGACTGCATGTGCACTACAGGGTGTTTTCAGGTACTGTCAGAGCTCCTTTCTCAAAAACGAGTTTATGTAAAACCACATCCCTTTCCCCTAACGCAGGGCTTCAATGTTCAAACAGCTCAGCTGTGGTGAGCTGAACATTCAGAAGATTTTACACCTTTAAAATATCCATAAAAAATCATTTTCACAAAAGACACTTGCTGAAATGAAAGCGTTTATAGAACTGAATATCTTTAAACTATTTTATTTTTGAGTGTCCCGTGTTTCTAAAGTGGAAATGTTTCATTCAATATTTGTATCCATCATTTGTGAAAGAAAAAATATATCTGCTGATAAAATCTCTCTGATAAGGATTCTTTTTCATCATCTTGTTTTGTTTTTTTTTGTCTTTTTTACCATCAAATGACTGTCTTGAATTTTGAAACAAAGGGTGAAACACACCACAACATTTCATGGAGTTAGTCTGATATGTCATGCTGTCGAAACAAACATAGTAGCCTTTATATGGTATTAGAAATGTGATTCCAGACAGAGAAAAAAAACATCTTTGTCGGTTCCTCTGCAGCATGGATTTTGTGTACAAGTGCTGTGGGAGGGTTGTGTGGGACTTCACAGAAAACAGAAAACAAGACTGCAACTGTGTCTAATGTTAATAAGCACGCGGCGATAAGAAGAATCATCACGTGAAGAGTATGTGTTCAACGTTTCTGTGAATGTTTGTGTCCATCTCTACTCGTATTTTCCTCTTGTATATCTGTTCCACTGTTTGTCTCAGGGGGTTTCAGGGAAAAATGACTAAAACGTTGTGCTATAGGCTGAATGTGGGGTTAGAAAGAGTGTCTCATAATGGAGGAGTGTTCTGACAATGAGCTAAAATACAAGTGTATGTTGGATTTTTTACTCCAACATTCAAACATCAGTGACAGAGGAGATACTGTCAGTCAGAAAGCGAGAACAAGGAGTGTAAAAAAAAAAGTACCATATAAGGCAAAGATGTCGCTTAGCAACCAGCTCTGCCTTCAGCCCAATTTTCCATGACACACACTGAACTCTGAATGCAAGACGCCGTCGCTGCATGTGTGTGTGTGTGTGTCACTCTGAGTATGCAAGTTTGAGCAAGTATCTGCTCACGTCACCCAGTGCACCAAATCTCAACTGGTTTGGCTGGGAGCAGACATCGTGGCCACGGCTTTTTTTAAAAGGCAGTAACAACAAACGCACACCCTGAGTTCTCTGAATTACCGTACAGTGAAGGACTTCAAACTCATCTAAAAGGAGGACAAAAACAGACCCATTAAAACTCTGCTCTTATCAGAAACCACAGGGCAGCGTCATCCTGTCGGTTACTACAGCTCAAGCGCAACTCCTCAGGTTGCTCATTTCCTGGCTCTCAGTGTAATAGCCTGGAAATCGCTCCGTCCACTGACATGCTGATCATCGTTACTTTAACTGGGAGCCAATCTGTTAATGCACCATGTGGAGGAATGTGGTGGAAAACACTCTCATGGCTTTACTCAAAATAAAAGACCGGCTAAAAGAAAGACATTATGAATACTCTGAGGTGAAACTAAGTATTCTTGATCAGTATTTTTTTTGATCAGTTGTGAAACAAGCACTGGAGATATGACATATCAAATGGAAAAAGGAGAAACAATCATGCGGACATTGAATAAGGAGGAGAGCTGTGTGTTGACCTGAAACAAAAATAATCTGATAGTTTGGATGATGGTCGCAAAAACACCAACATCTGGTTTAAGAACATTATAAACACACCTTTATGTGTTTCAAACTACCTTGTAATATATTTGTAGATGTCACATTTAGCTCTGGTAAATGGCAATGCAGGGCCTTTGACTATTTTCTTCAACTGGTTGAGCAGAGAAGCTGACTGAATGTGAAGATTCATTTTTGATGTTTTCATTTGTGTTTACAGTGACACTGTAAACAGTGGAGGCTTAAGGTGGTCAAAACTCCTACAATTCAAACAGACTGGAGCTTAATCATGTCCTATTTCTCTGTGTCATGTCATTTTCTGGAATACGGGAATGAGATAGCAGACAGGGTTGGACTATACAAAATAGAAACCAGTTTGAATTTAGCCAGGTTTCCATTTTGCACAGGGCGATACGAATGAATGCTGCTGGTTAAACATCTTCAGATACGCATCTTTGCTTATCTGGTCTGAACCTGGACATACAGGATTCACATTCTGCTGAGAGACTAGTGAAGGATCATCTCCAGATAGTGGCATCCTGTTTTTAAGAATCACTTTGAGCATTTGTATTCAACAGTGCTCAAAAGCTTCCCGGCTCAGGTGGGGAGAAATATCACAACTTCTTAATTGGAAACGTTAAACTGCATTTCATGTTTTGGAGGACAGGAAAACCTTAACCCTGTGGGAAAGTAAACTAATATCATCTGCAAGGTGTAGCTGTATGAACTGATGAGGGATAGACGCAACAGGATGACTAATGATATTAAAATGCTTTCAGGCAGTGTGTGCACGGTCAGCTGAGATCATCAAAAGCCATGTGACCCTGAGCCACGCATGTGGGGGTTTGAGAAAAAGACAGTTCACTCCTTAATTTGAATTTTTTTTTGGATTTGGGAATTTGGGAGTCCAGCTGTCCAGCCATTCAGACACATGTAAGAAATGAAATGCTTTTCAATCTTGTCTGTAAGCTATTAAAAAAGAAAGAAACATCCACCAAACCACCCCTGACACATTGCTTTGTAGACCCTCTGAGTGACTTGGGCTCTGTTTTCTTGATAAGCAACAGCACTTAAAGGACATTAAGTATCAATATGATAGAGGTGATGAGACAGGTATAGAGCCCTCTTTAGCAACTAACGTGCTGTCATGCTCCTCTGAGACATCTGGTGAGTAAAAGACCTTTGGCAAAAGCTACAGCAGGATATGGGTTGATGTGTCCTGTGTCAAGTGTGTATCTGTCTTTATTACATCAAATATATTCCAATGTTTTTCTTCAGTAGTTTGGCAGCCTGGTTTGTTAAGCTGATGTGGCATTTAAACACATGCGCTGCTACTGTAACACTGCCATGATATAGGAATATTGCCAACTGAGAAATATTTGTTGTCATTTTTTTTTTGGGGGGGTGGGGGGGGACCGAAGCAGTCGGACCTGTTTATGTTTTTTGTTTTTATTTCCTTCATGTAACATATCATAAACAGTTAATGTGTCTGAACATGGTTATTAAACTGCACATCTCAAACCATGAAAAAAAAAAAAAAAGACACTCACCCCCGTCCCATCATCCGGACTACAGAGAGACCGGGCTGGAGACAGACTGGACTCGATGTCGCTCCCGGTGTAGTCGTCCTCAGACTCCTCGAAGGATGAGGCTGAGGACAGACCGATGGAGGAGGAGTTAGACAGCTTCCGCAGAGGTCGCATCAACGCGGGGGACCCACCGCAGCCGCTGTCCGAGCAGGGGGACTCGTCCTCCGGCTGAAGCTCCAGGCACAGGCCGGTGCCGAGGTCCGTCCGGACGCTCAGCAGGGTGTCCTGAGAGCGAGTCGGGCTGGGGTCTCTGGTGATGATAAGTTTTGGTATTGTTCCGGGGAAACTTTGGCCGCCTTCTAGGGGTCCTCTAGGGGGCTCCTCAGCGTCATTGCGGCTCTCATTTTCAACAGGGCAGCAGTTCATTTGGACCCCGACCCTTATGAGCGGACAATCGGCACTACCTTCAGTTTTAGTCATTTTAGCCTCCGCAGGCTTGTCCGTTAACAACAGTCCACTATTCAGATGTTGATCCGCGGGCGGGCTAGTCCGGGTGTCGGGGTCAGAGGTGGACAGCGGGCTTGACCTCACGCCGGTCCCAGTTAATTCCCGGACTTCACACACAACACGTCCCTGTTTGTTCCCCACCGGTGTCTGGTCTTCCATGGCCCTCGTCGTGGGGTACGAGGCATTGTTCTCTCGCCCGGGTTTCGGCTTCTCACAGCCCGCACCGCTGGCTTCACCGCACCGCGTTTCCAAACCGGACGCATCGGGCGGGCCAGCCAGCGCCTCTCGGTTCACACGCCGTCGGACACCATCCGTATGATCATCTAGGCCGGACCGTGTCTCGAAGCAACCCGGGGGTGCTCGGGGTTCCCCAGCCGCCGATGTCACCTCGTCCCTCGGCAACTTTCCTCCTCTGTGATCGCAGCGCGTCGCTGGATCTCCGGCTCCGTTTCCGCAACCAAAATCCGCTTCTGTCTGACTGGAGTCTCGCTTTCGCCTTCCCAAACACGACAGCACTTTATTTTTCATTGGATTCTTGTTGAGCTGGTCACTGCGTCGCTTCTCTCCGCTCATAAATGTACGAATACGGAGTCGCTGAGTTGTCTCGCCTGCTTGCCATTTCGCTCTGCCTGGGGCGGCGGTGGTATGCGATAGAGCTGAGCGAGTTTGGCCCATCCCGCATGCCGTAGTAGTGAAACAGAAGCAGACACACCCTCAGTGGTTGATTCTGAAAATAGTTGTGATCACGTCGACTTCAGTGTGGCTTACATTACATTATTAGTCTCAAAATCCATCATTAAGCCTGGGGAATCTTAACTTGAAACAATCCTTTTCCCCCCTCGTTGGTATTTTCGTATCTGTGGGGGGAGAAAAAAAAAAGCAGAAGGAATAATTGGAAAAACTTCCTTAAAATGTAATTATTTCATCAAACTGACAATGTTCTCAATTACAGCACACAGAAACAGCCCTAGTAAAGTGAAAAATCTCAGTGTCTGGTAAAACAATACCAACCAATGTGATACCTTCCTGGGGTAAAACTACATGACACAGAAACTGAGAGGAAATATTTATATGAACTGGAAAGTATGACAAATGGATTGATTAAGTAATAGGCCCACACGAAAAAAACAGTTCAGTGGCGGAGAAATTCAAGGGTTTAAACTCAGTTTCTCCATACTTAATCAGTGTGTTAGGATACTGCCCTCCTGTGTCCAGACACTATACCGCAGTGTAAAGTGTCTACTGAATCAAATATGATGCAAAGCAATGTTCCTAATTATTTTTACTTAAAAGTGAAACTGCAATGTATAGGAAAACATTTTCAGTATATAGTCATCATGAACACATTTTGTTCTGCTTATGTAGTCTGATCACAACCTGCTTAACCCACAGCACAACCACAGATTCAGAGACACCCTGTAACCACACGCACCTTCAGAAAGTGCTCTCCTGAGGCAGTGGAGACACTAAGAGACTGTTTTGAGTCGACTGACTGGAGCACCTTGCAAGAGCCACACGGTGAGGACATTGAGGGGGGGGGGCAGTCACACACTGCACAACTGACTACATGAACTCCTGTATGGATGTTGTAGTTCCCACAAAAGCTGTGCGCTGCTTCCCGAACAACGAGCCCTGGATTACCAGTGATGTCAAGGACATCCTTAACAGGAAGAAGAGGGCATTCAAGGAAGGAGAGCAGGCAGAGCTGAAGCGCGAGGAAGGTGGAGAAGAAGCTGCTGCTGCAGAACAACAACACGAGAGAGGTCTGGGAGGGCATGAAAACCATCACAGGCTGCAAGAAGAAAGGTAACAGCACAGAAGATGGGGACCCTGTGAGAGCAAACCAGCTCAACCTGTTTTTTTTAACAGGTTTGACTGCCAGGCCACTGCAGCTAGTGTCTGCCCCCCCAGCACCTCTCTTTACACCACCCATACTGCCACCAGGACAAAGACTCCAAACACCTCCCCCTCCCTCCACACTCAAGAACTGTTCACCCCTTTAACCCCCTCCCTCCCACCATTACCAAGGAGCAGGTGAGCAGAGAGCTGAAAAGACTCCGTCCCAGGAAGGCAGCAGGCCTGTGTCCAAGGATGCTTCGTTCCTCACCCCGGTCCCCAAGAAGAAGAAAAAAAACCCCAGTGAGCCAGGCGACTTCAGGCCAATTGCACTGACATCCCACGTCATGAAGACCTTTGAGCAGCTGCTGCTCCATCTCCTCAGACCCCAGGGCCACCATGCCCCAGGATCCACTGCAGTTTGCTCACCAGGCGAAGGTAGGTGTGGACGATGCCATCCTCTATCTACTACACAGGGCTTACTCTCATCTGGACAAAGGGAGCAGCGTGATGAGAATCATGTTGTTTGATTTCTCAAGCGCCTTTAACACCATCCACCCCCTCCTCCTGAGAGACAAGCTGACCGAGGTGAGGGTGGACTCGCACCTGGTGAGAGGGATCACGGACTACCTCACAGAGAGACCACAGTACGTCAGACTGAAGGACTGCACATCTGACTCTGTGGTCAGCAGCATCGGAGCACCACAGGGGACTGTCCTCTCCCCTGTCACCCTTTATACCTCTGAATCCAGTATAATTCAGAGCTCTGCCACTTGCAGAAATACTCGGATGACACCGTGATAGTTGGTTGGTGTCAGGGATGGACAGGTGGAGTACAGGAGCCTAGTAGGAGACTTTGTGACGTGGTGCAGTTCAAACCATCTGCAGCTGAACACCTCCAAGACCAAGAAGATGGTGGTGGACTTCCGAAGGAACAAGCCACATCTACAACCTGTTTGCATCGGGGGGGGGGGGGGTCGACGGGGAGGTGGTCAGGACCTACGGGTACCTGGGGGTGCAGTTGGACGACAGGCTGGACTGGACACTATCTGCAGGAAGGGACAGAGCCGTCTGTACTTCCTGAGAAGGCTGTGGTCCTTCAACATCTGTAAAAAGCTGCTGCAGATGTTTTACCAGTCCGTGGTGGCCAGCGTCCTCTTCTATGCTGTGGTGTGCTGGTGAGGAAGCAGCAAGAAGAGGGTACGCAGCACGGCTGGACAGACCGGTGAGGAAGGCTAGCTCTGTGGTGGGCGCAGAGCGGGACTCTCTTGTGACGGTGGCAGAGAGAAGGACCCTGAACAGAATGCGCTCCATCATGGACAACACCCACCACCCTCTGCACAGCACCTTCAGCAGGCAGAGGAGTGTGTTCAGTGCTCCACAGACAGACTCAAGAACTCTTTTGTCCCCCTGGCCATACGTCTGTACAACACCTCACGGTTATGGCAGGGGGAGAGCACACACTTGGACTAAATCTTCCTTTTTCCATTTCCCATCTGCACAGCTGTCCCAAGAGTCAGCCTCCAGTTGGACACTTTAAATGATACCTCACAATTATTTAAATCACACCTTTAATTTAATGTTTGCACAATCTGCTTTTTAAACATTGCTGTACATATATAAACAACACAACTTCAGAAGGTCAACACTTTTGAATTTTTTTATATTCAGGTCTAATTACAGTTTTTTTTTTCCTCAACTGTTTACAGGTTCTTGTTTAAATCTCACATATATTTTTTATCCCTGCACAGGTTATGTACATTTCTTGTATAAGTCTATTTTTAATTGCACAGTTTAAGTTTGTTTCATCTCGGGGTATTCTTTACATCTTTTTTTCGGGTTAATGTATATGTATGTATGGGAGAGGGGTGTCGGTTTTGTGGTTAATTTGTAACAAATGTTTCATGTCATGTACGTCTTTGTAACCTGCTACTGGATGCTTTGAATTTCCCTCGGGATCAATAAAGTATCTATCTAAGTCTTTGTTAGGTCAAGATGATGACAGAACGGTATACATTTTTTAGAGGAAGTCAAGTTGCTTGCTTCATCTGACCCACTTTCCAAAAAATATTCAAACACAAAAACAAAGCAACTATCCTCACACTTGAGAAGCTCAAACAAGGATATTTTTCTTGGTAAATAATTTGAAACCTTCAACCAGTCATTCAACTTGTTGAGTGGGTTTTTGTGGGCTGAAAAAAAACAACTAATTGATTGATAATGTTAGCCATAAATGTACATAAATACAGAAGCATATTATCTTCAATTGTTGGGTGGATTGTTGTCAACTATAGGTAAAATGAAAAACTACATGTTTAAATCATTCATTTCCCTTTGCATACAGTGGTCATGAATTATGTTTGCACATCATGATTTAGGCCGACATTGAAACGTACACAGTAAAACCCAAACTGTCAAAGGGCAGCTTCCCTTCCATTAAAGACATTTCCGATATTCCTTGATTGAGGATATTCATTAAGAAACCTTACAAAAATGCACGGGCCATTTAAATGACTCAGAATAAGCAGCTGAGTGTTATTCACTGTGACAGTAGTGCAGTCACTGCTGTCAGAGAGGAATGCTCACAGAAAGGAAATGAGACAGGAAGGATAACAATGGAAAAAACAGCTCAAGTATGACTCAAACTGGGGCGAATGAAAGATATAACAACTTGTTTTAAACACAAGTGAAGACACAGTCAAATGTTCAACACACACCTAAAGAGGAAGATAGTCAAACATATAAAACACTAAAAAACGATTTATGGTCCGTAATAAATTCCTCTGACACTGTTCCACTTATTATATCCTCTATTCATCTGGCATATTTTAAGGAAGACATAATGTGGCCACTGTGGAAAGCACTTAAGCTAAATTAAATAGTTTCATAACATGATAAAGAAAAATACTAAAGCACATTTAAAGAAAAGAACAGACGGTGTGCACTAAAGGTGGGAGTTAATCACCTGATATTTAACCTACACTATGATTACTTCACACTTTGAAGACAGGATTAGTTATTTCAGTTGTCTGAATTTTAACTTAAAAACGACTTCTTAAATGGGTTACTTTGATTAGAAATCTGCTCTGCAATATAGAGAAATATAATTTACATTGCTTCCTGAAAGAAACTTTAAAATCAATAGAACATCCGACGTTTCTGTATTACCGGAGGAAAGAAGTAGCAAAAATAAAAAAGCGGTATATCGACAGCTTGAAACCACTGACACACAAAACATGTGAAAACTTTTAGCACAAACCTGCCGGACTGATTCAAAGTTGCTCCTCTGGTGTCTCTCTGTGAAACAGCTGTTAACAGCCTGTGTTGGGGGATGTGCCCACGACTTATCAGTTTAACAACTGTGTTTCAGAACTGCTGTGTAGTGTGCTGTCACAATGTGGTTAAAGAGAAAGAGGAAGCGCTTGTTGGAGCAGGGCAGGACTCAGTGCAACCAGCTATAGACTACCTCTGAAAAACTAGCTGAACCCGGGTTATAAAGGATGGTGTTTTAACGCGAACTGCCCTTAAATCAGCATTAAAGACAGAGTCCAAAACAGTTTGTTATTTAGCAAAGGTGAAAAAGCCAAATTTGTATGTATATTTTTTTCAAAGTTTTATCGGACAGCATGTGAGGGGATCTCACTGTGCTGCCTTCAGGTGTCCCCCGAAATAATAGACCCCTGAAAATGCGAGAATACAAAAAAAACATACAGTTGTTGGATTAAGTGATTTATTACATATGTTTATAAACACCTTATCTATCATGGATCAGTTTTAATTGATTCGAACGTGTCTTCTAACTTTGTTGAGATTTTTCGAAATTATGAGATAATTAAGTCATAATAATGAGATAAAAAATTCATAATTATGAGATGATGAAGTCATAATTATGAGATAAAAAGTCATAATAGTGAGATAAAAAGTCATAATTATGAGATAAAAAGTCATAATTATGAGATAATGAAGTCATAATTATGAGATAATTAAGTCATAACAATGAGATAAAAAGTCATAATAATGAGAAAAAAAATCATAATTTTGAGATAAAAAGCCAAAATTCTGAGATAAAAAGTCAGGGACACCATCTACTACCGTGAACTTTAGCCTACAAAATAACTGTGTGGTACATTGACAGTTAAACGGTCAGTGCTACTTAAACAGTAATGTAATGTGTTTAGTTCTAAGGACAACCAGATTAAAAGAAAAACTATTTATCATGCAGCTAACGTTTTACTACATTTGGCAGAATTAGGATTGCTTGAATTGCCTTGTTTAGGATTGCATGTCGTTTTAAATGACTGGGCGAGTGAGGGGATGTTGGGACTGTAATGCCGGCTGGAGCACATTCACACTTATCAACTCATAATTTCGACTTTATATCTCATAATTTTGACTTTATCTCATAATTTTGACTTTTTATCTCATAATTTCGACTTTATATCTCATAATAATGACTTTATATCTCATTATTATGACTTTTTATCTCATAATTTTGACTTTTTATCTCATAATTTCGACTTTATATCTCATAATTCCGACTTTATATCTCATTATTATGACTTTATATCTCATAATTCCGACTTTATATCTCATTATTAGGACTTTTTATCTCATTGTTATGACTTTATTATTTTCATTTTTATTTTTTTAACTGGCAGAATGGGCTTCCATATGGTACTGCATGACTTGCAGATAATACATAATGAAAGATTCAAAGTATCAAAGTTTTCATCTCATAATTTCGATTTTTAATGGGCAAAAAATATATATATATATCAACAAAGCCAAGTTTTCATTTTTATTTTATTAACTGGCGGAAACGGGCTTCCATAGAAACGTCTCGTATCCTTAAACGCAACGGTTCTTAAGTTTGGTGCATCTGGCTGTCCGTAGACGCGGAAGTAGCGTCTCTCAATCTCAGCGAGCAGGGCCCCGGCGTGACATTCACCGGGTTGTCAGTGTCCCGGGGGGGGGTGGGTTGCGTAAAAGAAGGACCACGAAAACCCTAAGTCCAACTAAACAGTTGTCAAAATGAGAGTACTTAAAGCGGGCCTTGCTTTGGGGAAAACGCATCTTTTGGCACCAGGTGGCGTCACTCTGAAAAAGGTACAGCCTCGATTCTGTCACATCTTTCCATTTTTGCACAATCAAACAAGCAGAAATGGGCCTGAATATTGATCTTTTTTTTTCTCCTTGTTTCACCTTCATAGTTGCTCGTTAACAGCTGTCGGGCATGTTCATCCGGGATCTTTCCCAACGAAAGGATCCGAAACATCGGGATCTCGGCTCACATCGACTCGGGGAAGACCACCCTGACCGAGCGTGTCCTCTACTACACCGGCAAAATAGCAGAGATCCACGAGGTGAGAGCTGGACAGGTGGACTCTTGCTGTCAGGTTATGTACGTGTTATATAGTTCTCTATTAACTAAGCGCTTGATCGTTCAGGTGAAGGGGAAGGACGGTGTTGGGGCCACCATGGATTCTATGGAGCTTGAGAGACAGAGGGGGATCACCATCCAGTCAGCTGCGACATACACCGTGTGGAAGGATCACAACATCAACATCATTGACACACCAGGTAGTAAAAGTTTACCTGGGGCCCTTTTGAACACAGACTCATTGACCCCCCCCTCCTCCTCCCCCTCCTCCTCCCCCATCTTCTGTTAATTTAGAGGTAAAAAGAAGCAAAGATGACTTTCATTCCCCTTATTTGCTTGTGCATTTCCCTTGATGCAGCATGATAATCTCTCTGTATCAGATGTCATTCAAACCAATGCCTTGGCTCTGTATCAAGGGTTCTCTCGTGTGTATTTGTCTACAATTCAATTCACTTAGCAGACGCTTTTATCCAAAGCAACGTACATCAGAGAGTAAGTACAACACAAGCAAGGCTCTAGGAAAAAAAGGGAACAATGTCAGTAAGAGCAAACGATCAGCTTTGAGTCGATTGGACACACAGGTGCTGACAGGAAGTGACCAGAGGCAAAGCACAGCATTGACGGCAGTTCTTGAGAGCTCTGATCAGTGTAGAAACCATCTTATAAGTCATCGTTTTCAAACAGAAACAATCGTCCCAACCATCATTTTGTCATGACAAAACCTAAGCAAAGATAACCCTGTTGATGTCCTCATGAGGAATAATGTCTAAGACCCTTCCAGGGCCTCAAAGACATCATAGAAAAGTTTTAACAGACTGAGAAGAAGGGACCTTGATTAGTAAACTTCAAAAAATGGATTGCCCCTTTATGCACAACTTCACCTTAACTCGTACTTTGGAGATGAATATTCTTAAACAGTGATTTTGGCATAAGAACCAATAATGTTCTTTTTCATATAATAGTCTGCCATTATGTTTTTTTTTTTATCTGTACTATATCTTTGCATTATGTTACTGGGTAAGTGACTAAAATGAAGACTCTGTACTAGGGCTGGGCGATATGGACCAAAACTCATATCTCAATATTGTTTAGCTGAATGGCGATACTCGACATGTATCGATATGTATTTTATTAACAGTGAAAACACATGGAAAAATAAACTACCTGTTTGTGAATTTAAAAAGTAATATTGTAAAATAAACTTAAACAACTTAAACTATATCGATATTAACGATATTATCTTACCCTATATCTTGTTTGAAAATATATATAAATATATCTATATATATATATATTTCCCAGCATTGCACCTTAAATATGAAAAGAATTGCCTTTTCACCGCCCGTCCCTTTCCTCCAGGTCACGTGGATTTCACCATTGAAGTGGAGCGAGCGCTGCGAGTGCTGGACGGAGCTGTTCTGGTTCTGTGTGCTGTGGGTGGAGTCCAGTGTCAGACCATGACGGTAAACAGACAGATGAAACGCTACAACGTCCCCTTCCTCACCTTCATCAACAAGTTGGACCGCATGGGCGCCAACCCCAGCCGAGCCCTACAGCAGATGAGGTATGGTAGCCGTTCATACGAACATGCTCCTCATCAGCTACACATGACGCTGGTGATGATATTTCTCACTTGATAATGTACTTATAATAGTGCTGTTATGTTATATTTATAAAATCAACAAAATCTATTTAAAACTTCATCCTGATATTACACGATGAAGCTCTGATCTTGATGGGATCACAGTGTAGATCAAGATCAGTTCAGTTCTATTCAAAACTTTTATTTTAACACGACAGACACTGAGGTTTCCCTCATTTACAGCGAGAAGAGGAGACACAAATCAAAAGTTACTTTCGCACATTGTTTGCGTGTTAATCACTTCTGCATGTGTCCAATTTGCTTTTCCTGAAGCTTTTGGTTGATTCTTTTTTTTAGTTACCAATAGACATGGCTGCTATAATTCCAATGTTTTATTCTGATGATTTACATTTTTCCAAAAATGTAAAGTGCATTGCAAATATATATTTTTATTCTTATTATTAATAATAATAATAATAATAATATATTATTATTATTAAATGACAAGGGAAAATCAACTCGGACTCATACGGGGTGTTTCTTATGCTGAAATTCAAGGCTCAAAAGCCACAGCTTCAGTTTAATATTAAGTTAACGTTCCAAAATAACGTTGTAATCATCTGTTGTTTTCCTTCCTGTTTTCAGTTCCATCCTTCTGATGAGTTTTTGTCACGCCTTTTTTTTTTGTCTTTTTCAGAACTAAGCTGAACCACAATGCAGCCTTTGTGAGCATCCCCATCGGCCTGGAGGGAAACGTAAAGGGCATCATTGACCTTGTAGAGGAGCGGAGCATGTACTTTGACGGACCTTTTGGGTGAGGGATTCAACCTGTTTTTACTTCACAATGAATAGATTATTCTCTGTTATATACTATAATGGATCATTTTGATCTGAAGCCTAGAACATTTTGAACTTCTGCCCCTGTTTCTAGTAGCAAGGAATGGTTTGTTTTTACCATGATATAGGCTGATAGGTGACAGCTTTACATCAGAATTCAAGAGCTGTAGACATCAACGCAAAATTATCCACATCTGGTTTCTCCCTGCTTCACAACTTCTGAGATTCCTGAACAACATGATGCTTATTCCGTTGTTTTTCTCTCCCTGCAGTCAAAGTATCCGCTATGATGAGATCCCGGCAGATTTCCGGGCGGAAGCTGCAGACAGAAGACAGGAGCTGGTGGAGTGTGTTGCTAATGCTGATGAGACGTTGGGAGAGATGTTCTTGGAGGAAAAGGTCCCAACGAATGCAGATTTGAAGGTTTGCATCCTTTTAAACCCACTAGCAGCAACATTTAAAAGGGTAAAAAAAAAGGTTTTAGTTTAATACTGATACGTCAATGCTATCACTGGGATGGATTCTGACAAACTATGTATATGTGTGAAATTCTATATTCAATGTTTGATAATAACAAAGTCCATAATGTTTTAAAAAACAATCAAGAAACATGAACTGTAATAACCTCTCTCTTGAAAAGAACTCACAACTTCCTTTTTAAAACTCTGACTTACAACTATGACTCACGTTGGGGTTAAAAATAACCTTCAAAACAAACTTTTGGTTGAACTAGTAAACAAGACTAGTCTACAGTCTACAGCTTTGAGCTAAATGTTCAAATATGATGCAAACATGCAAACAAAGACATAGCTTACATAATGGCATTCGGTAGGTTGTTTTTAGTTCACTCTTAAACCCATGTTTTAGAAAAAAATAAAGTAAAAAAGACTAACCGATGGAGATGGCTCTTAATGGAAAGTCAGAGAGTTACCAAAGTCAGTATGATCCTTTCAATGTAAGTGCATAATATTCAGCAATGTATCCAGAATTTGATTGTAGCTGCACTAAGAGATGGATTTAGCCCCTTATTTTAAATGTCTCTACCTTTAAAACATGTGATTGTGTGATCATTTTGATTCGGCAACCCGCCCCTTTAAAACCCTTAAAAATCCTCAAATGCGATGTTTACGAAAATCACACGTGTCTTTGTGAAGTCGTTTGGTTTCCCAGCACTCCCCTGAATCTCTCGTCTCTGCACTCATCACCAGGCTGCGATCCGCAGGGCCACAGTGCAGCGTCTCTTCTCTCCAGTGTTGGTGGGCACAGCTCTGAAGAACAAAGGAGTCCAGCCTCTCCTGGACGCCGTGCTGGATTACCTGCCCAACCCCACCGAAGTTAAGAACTATGCAATCCTAAATGAAGAGTGAGTATGGACCGGAGTTGTCAGTCTACTCAGTTAAAACCAATAAATAACCAATGAAATGAATATTAATCTTAGATCCTTCTTGAGGAACTTTTTGTGTAACGTCAGTGTTTTTCTCCCTTGTAGAAACTCCAGTGAAGCAAAAAAGATTGAAATGGACCCAACAAGAGACTCTGAGAAGCCTTATGTTGGTCTGGCCTTCAAACTGGAGGTGAGAAATTGCGCTTTTTATTTTTTACTTCTGCAATTTTGCTCAACAGGAAGGTTTCGAAATGTGCCAATTTGTTGTTTCCTGACGCGTCTCTCATTAACAGGCAGGGAGATTCGGCCAGCTGACGCATGTGCGCGTATACCAGGGCTGCCTGAAGAAGGGGGAGTACATCTACAACACACGCACGGGCAAAAAAGTCAGAGTTCAGAGGCTCGTTTGCCTCCACGCTGACCAGATGGAGGTGAGAATGTCAGCAGGTAGTGAAAGGTCACAGTTTTCCACCTGCGGTTTGCAGTTTGAATATCAGACGAACATGACCAGTCAGAATTGTTAGGTTCCTCTTTTAGAAGTCGACCGCATCCCCTGTGAGACCAAAGTAACATGTTTCCATCCTTCTTGTGTCAAAACAAGACAGGAGACTGTTTCTTATGCTTCTACTAAAAACAACACCCCTTCATCAGCTCAGTAATTATTATATTTAATATATTATTATTCCCCTGGTCTAGGATGTTGATGAGGTATACGCAGGAGATATTTGTGCTCTGTTTGGGATCGACTGTGCCAGCGGAGACACGTTTACATCCCGGACCAGTGCTAACCTCTCCATGGTGAGTATTTTATTTTAAGTTTTCAGATAAGAAAGAGAAAGAAAGTTATAAGATTCTTCTCTACTTTCTGTAATATTAAAGTGGAATCTTGTGTTCATTTGTCATCTTTTTGTCCCACAGGAGTCCATTCATGTCCCAGAGCCTGTTATTTCCATGGCAATGAAGCCTGCAAACAAGGTAAAAAAAAAAAAACATCTATTTACACATGAACTTTTAATATCAGACTCTAAAGCCTGAACTGCATCTATCAACTCTTCTCCCCTCTTTCCAGAACGATCTGGATAAATTCTCTAAAGGTATTAACCGATTCACAAGAGAAGATCCAACGTTCAGAGTGCATTTTGACACAGAGAGCAAAGAAACCATCATCTCAGGGATGGGCGAGCTGCATCTTGAAATCTACTCCCAGGTACCATTTGAGATAGAGTGACACTTACGTTATGTGCATGGTTAATAAAAGAGAGCCTGCATTAAACAAGACAGGGTTGAAGCTGCTGAAGGGACACATTTTTTACTTTAACGATGATGCTTTAGATGTAGTTAATTTTAATTTGTTGAAGTTTAGATCTCAATTAACGGTTTCCAGTGCTGTTTGGGTTTTGCTTCCATTGTCTTAATCTCTGCATGAAATATTTTGTGTCCTTAGTTTCTAAAATATTCCCCTTTAAGCCTGATACATCTGACATGTTTCTTTTCTATTGATGCTCATTCTTGCTTTGTTTTTCAGAGGATGGAGAGGGAATACAACTGTTCCTGTGTGATGGGAAAACCCAAAGTGGCGTTCAGGGAGTCCATCACCGGTCCTGTATCGTAAGTTCGACTCTCCTCTCAAACACATTCTCACACAAACTGAGGCAGCAGTCTGTACAAACAGTTTATTTAAGCTAAAATACAATAGCAACCAAAGGTACTGAAAAAGTAGTCAAATGTAAGTATAATCTTATTATAACCCTAATGACTGACATCATGACATGGCGTTTCAATATAAACTGTGAGCGTCAATATGTTGTTTTGGTTGTTATAGCAGTGTGCAGTTTAGTTTGTGTTGTTAAGTTTTTCCGATTCATGGCGGTGTGGCAGCTGCTCCATGTGCTGCACTCTTACTCCCTCTGGAGGAGACCAGGTGAACTGCAGTTTCCAGTGAATGATTTCCTGCAAAAGAAAGTCACAGTGAGAGACTAACACATATCAGGGAGTAAAACACGCAAGAGTTCTTAACTAACAAATCCAAGAACACTCAACTGTAAGACGTCACTAGTTTTTAAGTCATTAGCCACATTATCAAGTAGTTCTGCTGAAATGTTGAACATTTATACCATTAACAGCTTTCTAAATGGTTTAATAAGATTATATATATGCTGATTTAAACCATGTTAATGTGATTAATTGACACTTTTTGTATTAGTCTGAAAAACAAATGTGAAGCCAAAGCTCTGGACGAGCACTGTCGTATCTGTTGGTCATTTTAAAAGAGTTTCATTAAGCTGGATGATAAAAAAAATATAACGGTGACATGCAACTATAACTAATATTTCAAAGACAATAATTCATATTTACTTGGGACACCATCTCATGGAGCAGTATGTGCGAGTCAAACTTCAGCTGCTCGTTTTCGGTCACCTGCAGGAGAAATAGGAAAATGAAGCGAAGGATAGAAACTTAGTTCAATATAAATATCCTTCTTTCTCACTTGAAGCTTCATGTCTGCCTTATATGCTTTCAGAAGAGCCATAAGGGAATACTTAAGTCCTAAATTAATGGAGCATGTTGTTGTAAAAGAAACAAATCAATGAATGAGCAGACAACAAGAGGTAATAAAAACCCACCAGCTGTGTGATATTGGCCACCTGAGCCATGTTGTACAGAGTGTTCTCATTGGATTCATTCAGCATGACAAAGCTGGAGGCCACGATGCCGAGGTGCCAGAAAGGCCTCATGTCTGGATCAATGTGTCCGTGGCTATCTGTCGGTGTGAAAGTAGCAGTGTTATTAATTTACTTACAGTGTACAGTTCTATAATCACTCGGTGTAAAACATTTTGTGGTAGCAGATCAAACAGGAACACAGTTCATGTAAAACCACAAACGGTGCTGAAATAACAAATTGCTAAACATTTCTGCTGCAGATGTTGTGCAATGTTTGAGTCTGGGTGCTGAATAGAAGCAGGAGTATTCAGAGAACGTATAGACACATTACACACCAGGTAAATGTTGTGCAGACAGCAGGCCGTGGTTGTTCTTGTACTGTTGGTATAAGGCCTCTTCTTGAGTTGTAATGTTGATTTGAAGGATCTCGTCGCACTGGACCTGCGCCAAGCCCTGTTGCTCCCCCCTTGGGAACAAAACCTGTGCAGAGCATTTCTCTGTCGTCTGGATGGAGTTTTAGAAAGAGGTAGAGCAGACAAAAAAAAAAAAAAAAAGAGAGAAAAAGGCAGGTTTGATAAGAAAAGACGAGATTAGGGAGAGTTTAAGGCGTAGTCCAGATGTTAACATAGCAGTCAGTGAGTCATGGTTGCACCACACTGCCTTCTTCAATCTTCTGTTTAGTTTGACCTGGCCAGACCTGCTCGATCTAAAGCCAAGGAGTATTCAGCTGCAACACTTCAAACAAAAACTAACATTTGCCTAAACTGTCCTTCCACAAACAATCTGTGAGTTCTACAACCTGAACCCTGAAAGCAGCCAGTCAGCTGACAGCCTGACGTAGGGGAGCAAAATGTTCAACTTGTTATAGCACAGAGGGGTAGATAAAAAAAAAAAAAAAAAACATGACTCCAGACTTAAAGCCCATCTGTGTAAGCGCCAGTTTCAACTTGTGAAGAAAAAGCATATCTTACATTGCTGATTATCTCCTGAGCCGAGATCTCCAGCAGATACTTTCTCCCAGAGTCTGCCACATCCTAAAACACAAGTCAGCAATAAGAGTTGTTTAAGTTATAGTTTTAGATGTTTTATCCCCTCAGTGTCATTTTCAGCTGTGAACTGTAAATGCTCAGCTGACCTCTGCGTGTGCGCTGTGAACCTGTGCAGTCCAAACAGCCTGAATGGAGAGCCGTGGCGGGTGTTCAGGTAGTGTTGGACCACTTTGGCCGCCCTCTGAGCCGGGTAGTGATCGGTGTTCAGCTCTCCGGTAGCCATTGCATAGTCCTCAGCCGCCACCTCGACCAACAGTTGTTGCTGTCGGGAGACAGAGAAGCACAGAGACAGACAGAGAGAGAGAGAGGAACTAAATCAGAACAGAAGATGTGTTCATGAGCAGGGCTGGGCTCCTGAAGGACTTTGACCCTCAGGTGTCACTAAGTGTTGGTTTGTCTCTGTGTAAGAAAAGTGCCTTAAACTAAATGTTGAAAATAAAGTATCAATACTAAAGTCTAGGGAAACATACAGCTGATCAAATTTAATCTTACCGCTTACGGAAAATGCTGCCACTCCCCCCCGTTAGGTGGAAAGTTTCTCTCCGATGCAAAGACTCAGCTGCTCCTCATGCAAGTGGAAAATCTACTTCCTCTTCCTGTGTGCTCAGTGAGGACCGCCCCTTTTTTTTTTTTTTTTTTAAAGAGACAGACCTCTTTGCTACAGTTTCTCCTCCTTATTGAATCAGTTTACCTTTAAAAGATTAATAAATCAAGTAATTTTGTGCTGCAACAATGCAGATTTTCATCTGCTAATTCATTTTGGAGGACATTTCCGTGATAGTGGATGTTGAGATGTTCTGGTGTCTGAAGGACAACACTGATGGTATCTGACATGTTTCATTCATACTGGCCAGCACTACATGTAAAAAAAAAAAAGCCTTTATATTATTATTTACTTAAGAACTAGAAGATACTTTGTGTTGAGAAAAATCTCTTCAAGTGGCCAAAACTCATAATACACTAGCAGTGGTTCACTAATGGTCAAAATGGAATAACATTAATTTTCCTATCCTGTCCTTTTCTCTGCAGGTTCGACTTCACTCATAAGAAGCAGTCCGGCGGCTCCGGGCAGTACGGTAAAGTCGTGGGAGTCCTTGAGCCTCTTGAACCAGAGCAGTACACCAAGTTGGAGTTCGAAGACCAGACCGTCGGAACCAACGTCCCCAAGCAGTTTGTACCGGCTGTAGAAAAGGTTTGTTTTTCGTGTAAGGCTATAAAAAGATGTGAAATATCTTCAAAATGTATAAGAAATCTACGCAACGGTCCTTTCATCATTTTTGTCACCATCATGCTGCAGGGCTTCAGAGATGCTTGTGAGAAGGGACCCCTGAGCGGGCACAAAATCTCAGGAGTCCGATTCCTCCTGGAAGACGGAGCCAATCACATGGTGGACTCCAACGAGATCTCCTTCATCCGAGCAGGAGAGGGCGCTTTAAAACAAGGTGAGGGAGACTAGATTTGATGTTGGATCCACTCCCTGCTTCATGCTTTGTAACTCCAGTTCGGTTGTTATTTGATGGACGTTAACGCTCGATTTATTTTAATGTGCTCTCCTCAGCCATGGAAAAGGCCAACGCGACCATCTTGGAGCCGATCATGTCGGTGGAAATCGTGGCGCCTCAGGAGTTTCAGGGAACAGTGATCGCTGGTGTGAACCGTCGGCATGGAGTCATCACAGGACAGGACGGAGCTGAGGATACTTCACTCTATACGCTGATGTGAGTCAACGTTTCATCGTTTCAAGTATTTACAAAGTGTCACCTTTTAATGTTGGTGCCCATATTCTTCACCACCTTTTGAATGTACTAATTTCAGCCTTGTCCCAACAGATTCCACTAAACGACATGTTCGGCTACGCTACAGAACTCCGCTCCTGTACAGAGGTAGGTTAAGTCCATTACAGTCCAGATAACTTCAGGTTAAGGGAAAGTTTATGGTATATTATAGTCCAGAGCTTTTAGAGACATGGTCTTAGTTGATTTTCATGAGAGTGAGAGACACTTCATATTTTTTCTTGGTTTTGTATCACTTCATCATTGAGGAAGAACACTGCAGTTGTTCCGTCATGTTCGTTGCAGTCTTCATTTGCTGTCTGCCATCTTTCTCAGGCTTTTGGTTTATTAGTCATGGGAAGGACAGTTTCCTCAATGCAGATGTGATAATCAGGAAATAAAGTCTGCAAATCTCTCTCTGCCGCTCAGAAATCTGCTGCTAGGAGCGGACCTCAGCTGACAGCCGAGGGTCACTCTGATTGGATCATGTTGATACTGTGATAGGGTGACGGTCACATAGTCTTTAGTGAGGAAAACAAACTTAATCTGCAGGACATAGATTGATAAAGATACCCATTACTAAAAGGAGCGTAAACAAGTTTGATACATTTTAATCTTCTTGTGTTTGTTTGCATTTCAGGGAAAAGGGGAGTACACCATGGACTACAGCAGATACCAGCCCTGCCTGCCAGCCACCCAAGAGGAACTGATCCACAAATACTTGGAGGCTACGGGGCAGCTGCCTGTAAAGAAGAACAAGTGGAAGAGCTGAAAACTATTGAACTCTGACATGAACACCTTCCCTCACCTCCCCGCCCATCCCATTTACTGAAGCTGGACATTTAGGCTCGACATTTGAGCTGTGAAAAAAAAAAAACTTTCATATTCTAGATTTTACTTCCCAAGTTAAGCCGCTGTTTCTCTGATGTTTTAACCCTGTGGAGAACATATTTATTATCTTTGTTTTCAGCACAATCTGACCTCTCAGTTCTGCAGTCAGCATTTGTGAAAGTGGTGAAAAGATCTGCGTTGTGACTTTTGTACTATGTACAGAATGGAGTTGATGTAAAGATGAAAGCAACAACATATACCCGTCTTTTAAATTACCTTTTTTTGGTGCAGATCTTTTTTTTTTTGTCTCAACATTATGCAGACATTGGAATTATGGAAATTTTTCATCAGTCATTTTAAACAGGAGTAGTTTTTGCAGACACCAAAACAATTACACAAAAAGAAAATATAAACACACACACAAAAGTGATAGGGGTTGTTTCCTCCTCACCTGTCCAGGGATTTCTGTGTCCTCCACTGCGTACTCGGGCACGCTGTTGGGATGAGCCAACATGTCCGCATCTGGACTGACCGTCACATTGGGGCTCCCAGTTACCCCAGTTAACACCGCCAGAGCGATGACGATCCACAAAGTCATCATAATTTGCCGCGAAAAAACGAGTGAAAAGGAAAAGCACTTCTGTGAAAGAGTGCAGGCGGGGAAATGACCCTCCTGACAGTGAGAGGTTATGTAAGAGACGGAGGGGAGGGAGGGAGGGAGGGGAGAGATTGTCCAGATCCTGCTGTCTTCCTGTTTATTTTGTGCCCTTTTTAGCTCAACAATCCGCTCCACTTTATCTGGTTCTGTTCTTCGTACGCTCTCACTTAATCTGTCAGCCTCCAAAAGTTTCAGCACCCTCACAAGAGGAGCTGATTAGTTGAGGAACATTTATCCCATTAGATCTGCTGCAGCTGGTGAGGCAGCTGGGATTACTATGTGAGCCTGATGGGTTGCAGCCTCGTCTGATAGATTAAATGTAGGGGAGCAGGACTTTCACTGAGCCAATTTAAACGCAAAATGCAAAGTCCACAAGGCTTTAAAAGCCGAATTATGCAACATCATGAGGACATCTTAAAAGGTGTCACATTGACATCTAACAGGATATTCAAATGATCACTTTTAGTAACAAAAATCTATAAAGAAAAGCATTGGGCAGAGTTTATGTTCCCCAAATATTAAAGAAGATGGTATGAAATAAAGTGGCCTAATCACATTTAATGTGTGTAATCCTCTTGAACATTAAGGCATCATTTTAACATTCACATGTTTTGACCCTTAACAACATGAACAAGCTTTTTATTTAGCTGGCAAAGAAATGGTTTATAAGTCGCCAATAAGACATTGTGATGTTTATTTTATACACTGCAGTTTGAAAGCTAGAAGTCTATCACGAGTCACAGTATACATTACGGGCTTTTGTAGATTTTGCACTTTTCTCATATAGAAGCAACTGAGGGAAACTTTTTATCTGGGCACTCTTTTGACTCGCATTAGAAAGTGTCTGACGTTAAAAGAACATTTATTCATCTCTTATCTGAACTGAACTTTCATTGTTTACACTGAATGTAAATAGACAGTAGTTATTGGAAGACACTTAGACCACAAGGTCAAAAATTAAAGTCAAGACACAGAGCACATCTTTGCTAAGTTCCTTTTCTCTCTCCTCTTCTCCCCCTGATGGGCCACTGGAGCGTCGTGTCCACTTGTTGATCTTGTCTCCGACTTTTCATTCTGCGGACTCTTACATTCACCTGTGTTTTGTCTTAGCTGCACATTTTGGGGCAGATTATCAATGAGCTCGTAGAGGGTGAAGATGCTGAAGCAGATTTCATCGTAGGCTGTCGTGGTGCCGCACTCAAACAGGCAGGCGAAGGCCACAGCGGGGGGTGCACCAGCTGAGGGCGGTAACTCCAGGTAGGCAAGGTCGGAGTAGGCGCTGGGGCCTTCATAGATCACCCAGGGGCCGCGCCAGCTGTCTGGGTCCCGGGGAAACAGGCTGAGGAAAACACCTAGGTCCTTGCGAGCTGTTGTCCATGTTGGGTGGGAGTAAACTACCCAGGTGGGGGTGAGGAAATCTGGAGGGGCATTTAAATTAGGTGACAAGGGGGTAGTGTTTGAAGAGGAAGATGTAGGGGGATATGAGTGGGACATTAAGGATGTCCAATGTCTGGTGTGACGTGTATGTTGTTGTAAGTAAAGAGGAAGAGATTTACACAAGTGTAAAGGGGCAGGAAACCCCACTATGCTACCATGGCAACCATTCCGAGGCTCCACCAGCCGCTGCACCAGCTGCCCCTCCTGAAACGCAGCTCCATCATCCAGACTGAGCGACTGCACCCTGTAACCCAGAGGGCTGCGCGCATTACAGTACAACACATTAGTCCCATCCTCTTCATCCACTGAAACCATCTGACATTCCACGCTCTCCGGGCCCGGCACGGCCTCCCCAAATCGCCACGTTCGCCCGTGGGTGTCACTGTGGAAGCAGAAAGCACGAGAGGTGGTCTGGCAGATCTGTCCGAAACACTCTTTGCAGTCGATGTGGTAAGCATAGGCAGGGATCAGCAGACGACCCGATTTCAGCTGGATACCGTGGCCTGGGCCGAGGGCGAAAGTGGCCCATTCTGCAGGGACAGACGAGGAAGAGACATCAAAATGAAGAAGGATAAAGTAAGAGATGTGTGACAAACCCGCAGTCCTCTTTCTGTGCAAAAGTGTAATCTTTATAAGTAACTTTCTTTGTTGTGAGCTGTGGTTGCATGGAATAAATCTCAGCAGCCTCTTTGCCACAAGATGGCTGTGACCAGGACAGATTAAGCAAGCGATTTGAGTATCCTACAGCTCAGATGTTACTAAAAACACAGCAATAAACAAAAAAGAATAAATGGCTCTATAGTAAAAGTGTAGTTTTGAAGCTGATAACAAAGATTGTTAACCAGTGCAAATAAATCACCATCCCCCTAGTATAGAAGAACACAAATGCAAACTTTTTTTTTAAATCAGCAGATTACAAGAGTACTTGTTATTAAAAGTTTCTTTTTTTGTACCGTAATTAAATAAAGCAACCCGTACATAATAAAATGTCAAGAGAAAATTCACATTTGTGGGATACAATGAAGCACAGGATTTATCCAGTTTATTCTAATCATGCGTATTTAAAAAAAGAATTCCCTGACCTTTGATAGTGTCTCCTATCACCCTCTGTGTGAGGTCGGTGACAGGGCTCCAAGTGTCTCCTTCGTCTGTGCTGCAGATGAAGCAGAGTCGAGTCACGTTCTTCCCCGTCACCAGCTGGTAGGACTCAGAGGTGTGGCCGAGGACAGCGATGAAAACAGGAAGAGGGTACCTGTGAACTCATCGTACACCGGACACGGGTTCATGGAGCGATGACCTGAAAGGAAGGCGGTGCCCAGAACATGCATGTCCTCCCACTAGAACAACAGAAGGAAAAGGGAGGAACAGAAAGAAGATCCTATTTACTTCAAAGACCACATTAACTGCAGAGAATCAGATTCTTGTTATGGTTAAGTCGCTCCCTTCAGGTATGACCCCACAAAACCTGTCCTGTTGTTCTTAAAACAACTTTTTTTTATTGTTCAAACTTCCAACAATCAGCTCACTAAATCATACTGTTAGAGTTTAGTCTTCCCAACCTTTTCAAATAAACCAAGCATTATACTCTTCTGTGATTTTGTTTCTGTATACAGTTGACATGGCTGTTCATTATAGCCCTTCTAACATATTTAGGTAGACTTTTATGCAAGTATTTTTGTGTCTGAAGTTAAAAAAAGGGGTTACATTACAGGTGCAGGAACAAACACTTACCTCCACATAGTTCCTGTAGAAGGTTCCTTTCCTCATGACCAGCAGGTGAGCCTGAGAGTCGGACGGGCTGAGTCTCTCCTCACAGAAGGCGAGGAAGCAGCTGGTGCGGGGCAGGTAGAGCAGAGCTGGGACCCTGTACGTCACCCCGTTTGGCTCCTTGCGGAAGAGCATGGACCTCGCTGGGAAATAGGGCGACCTCATGCTCACTGGTGTGAAAGTGAATCCTCTGAGAAAGACAATCAGAATCAGCTGCTGAGGAATGTCACTGCAGTTATCAGAAGCTTTCATGAAGTGCTCAGCAAAGAAGAACTCTCGTGAAATATGTATAATAATATTTTAGAGGAGGTATAAAAATGTCCAGCTTCATTGTTTAGAGATAAATAGAAGTTTTTATACAGTTTAATCTATAACTGTTACAGAGTCTTATATGGTGAATGGGATTTATTTCTTATGGATTCATAGACACATATACATAGGTAGTTGATGTGAAGTATTATGCAAGTTAACACATATATGTACAGTATAATTCTTGGTTGGGTATATTAAATACTCCTGGGTTAGATTTACATGATATTGCACAACTGGTATATAAAACAGTAATATTGATGATGTGTAAGTATATCTGATGTTTGGTGATAAAGGGTTATTGCCCATCTTTATTCTCATATCACATGTCATATATTTATATTTTTAAATGAGACAAAAATATGTTTAATCTTTGAGATTTTTTTCTAAAAGATCTATGCTATAGAATGATTAATTATGTTTGCTATCTCAACTAGACCAGCTGTGTGACAAACCTTCTTCCACCTTCAGCTGATGCAAGATGTTAAACATCACTTCAGAAGGATTCTATTTCTTCTGTTTCTAGGGATTTTATTGTTACATCCTAACATTTGTTAGGTAATTAAACCCCCCAATACATTATATTTTTGCACAACGTCTTAAATTAATATAAATAAAATATGCATTTACCTTACTAAGAGCCTTACAACATCACCATCAGCCTTCACTCAAACTCACAAAAGGAAAACTCAACATATTACAAATGCCACATGGAGGAGATGTTAGAATTCACCACTAACTGCCATCTAAACCTGCTGACTAATTCACAGGTCACATTTCAGCAACTACAGAATCACATTACACACTTAACTACAGTGTTGATTTAGTGAAACCGCTCAATATAACTGCAGGAGGAGAATCTTGTGCAGGTGATGTGCATGAAAAAGGGAAACGAGTGAAGAATACTTACACCAAAGTGCTCCGTGAACTCTGCTGCTCCTTTGTGAGGACATACAGTATGTGTCAGCATTTGAGTGAAGGGTTCACAGTGTTATGTAGGCCTATGTGTGTTGAGTGTGTGTAGTTAGTTGTTGTGCGTTTTTAGGGTGTGAGTCTGAAATGTATGGCCTCTCCTCTCTGTTCCCCTTTTCAGAGCAGCAGCTTGCCAAGCTGTTCACTGACCCAGAAATGGACCGCACTCATCAGATCTACAGCTTTGGATGAATCAGCGCAGAGCAGCCATTGTGGAAATGAAGGCCGGGTGAGGGGGACCCCCTGAACAATGATTGGATGTTCTGCCCCCTCTCTGTCCTGTGTGCTTTCCTCTGAAATGTTCTGCAAAATGTGTAGGAAGTTATTCTCATACCATTTTAAGTTGTTCAGTTAGAAATGTATAGATCTGTTAGAATAGTGTATTGTAGAAATGAGACATTGTTTGTATAATCTTAGAGGAACACATGCTATTTCATAATCACCAACTTGTACTTGAGATTTCATATCATAAATTTATTCACTACTATATTTTTTTGTGATTGTGTAGGCATTTCTTATTTTTGTATTGGGAGATCTGTTTATTTATATTGTTATATTTGCACCTTAACTGATAGTTTATAGGCTGTTGCTCTTTGCTGTCTTTCTGTTGTCCTTTTTGTAATAGCTGCACAACAGCAGTTCATAGTGCTAATTAGCCCTTTAAAATACTTTGAATCTTTCATTATGTATCATCTGCAAGTCATGCAGTACCATATGGAAGCCCATTTCTGCCAGTTAAAAAAAAATAAATTAAAATAATAAAGTCATATTAATGAGATAAAAAAGTCAAAATTATGAGATAAAAAGTCATAATAATGAGATATAAAATCGAAATCATGAGATATAAAGTCGAAATTATGAGATATAAAGTCATAATAATGAGATATAAAGTCATAATAATGAGATAAGTCAAAATTATGAGATAAAAAAGTCGAAATCATGAGATATAAAGTCGAAATTATGAGATATAAAGTCGAAAATATGAGATATAAAGTCATAATAATGAGATATAAAGTCGAAATCATGAGATATAAAGTCGAAATTATGCGATATAAAGTCGAAATAATGAGATATAAAGTCGAAATTATGAGATAAGTCAAAATTATGAGGTATAAAGTCGAAATTATGAGATATAAAGTCATAATAATGAGATAAGTCAAAATTATGAGATATAAAGTCATAATAATGAGACTTTATTATTTTCATTTTTATTTGTGTTTACTGGCAGAAATGGGCTTCCACAGTACCAAGCTTTATGTTTGAATTCAGACATGTAAATAAAAAGGTGATTTTTGCTTTTAGAAATTGTTAATGTAAAAACATGAATCCACTTCACAATCTCAAAAGGTTGTAAAAAAAAAATCATCACAGAAAAAAAAAAAAAAAAAAAGCCAGTGATGTCATCAATACACTCATCAGATCTACAGCTTTGGATGAATCAGCGCAGAGCAGCCATTGTGGAAATGAAGGCCGGGTGAGGGGGAACCCCTGAACAATGATTGGATGTTCTGCCTCCTCTCTGTCCTGTGTGCTTTCCTCTGAAATGTTCTGCAAAATGTGTAGGAAGTTATTCTCATACCATTTTAAGTTGTTCAGTTAGAAATGTATAGATCTGTTAGAATAGTGTATTGTAGAAATGAGACATTGTTTGTATAATCTTAGAGGAACACATGCTATTTCATAATCACCAACTTGTACTTGAGATTTCATATCATAAATTTATTCACTACTATATTTTTTTGTGATTGTGTAGGCATTTCTTATTTTTGTGTTGGGAGATCTGTTTATTTATATTGTTATATTTGCACCTTAACTGATAGTTTATAGGCTGTTGCTCTTTGCTGTCTTTCTGTTGTCCTTTTTGTAATAGCTGCACAACAGCAGTTCATAGTGCTAATTAGCCCTTTAAAATACTTTGAATCTTTCATTATGTATCATCTGCAAGTCATGCAGTACCATATGGAAGCCCATTTCTGCCAGTTAAAAAAAAATAAATTAAAATAATAAAGTCATATTAATGAGATAAAAAAGTCAAAATTATGAGATAAAAAGTCATAATAATGAGATATAAAATCGAAATCATGAGATATAAAGTCGAAATTATGAGATATAAAGTCGAAATTATGAGATATAAAGTCATAATAATGACATATAAAGTCGAAATCATAAGATATAAAGTCGAAATTATGCGATATAAAGTCATAATAATGAGATATAAAATCGAAATCATGAGATATAAAGTCGAAATTATGAGATATAAAGTCGAAATTATGAGATATAAAGTCGAAATTATGCGATATAAAGTCATAATAATGAGATATAAAGTCATAATAATGAGATATAAAGTCATAATAATGAGATATAAAGTCATAATAATGAGATATAAAGTCGAAATTATGAGATAAGTCAAAATTATGAGGTATAAAGTCGAAATTATGAGATATAAAGTCATAATAATGAGATAAGTCAAAATTATGAGATATAAAGTCATAATAATGAGACTTTATTATTTTCATTTTTATTTGTGTTTACTGGCAGAAATGGGCTTCCACAGTACCAAGCTTTATGTTTGAATTCAGACATGTAAATAAAAAGGTGATTTTTGCTTTTAGAAATTGTTAATGTAAAAACATGAATCCACTTCACAATCTCAAAAGGTTGTAAAAAAAAAATCATCACAGAAAAAAAAAAAAAAAAAAAGCCTGTGATGTCATCAATACGCGACTTAGCCGCACATGGCTGCCCGGTGAAGTTTTGACAACACTTTCTAAGGTATTGTATTTCTGTGGTCTTGAAGCTATCGTTAAGGTCACACTACTGATTAAGATTACTTTCTAACGGAAAATTAACAAAAACATTCTCAGATTAAAGAGTTTAGAAGAGCGTGGACACAAGTGTTAGCTTTGAGGCTACAACTGTCGAACTAAGACTGTGTAATGTTTGACGTTTCTATTCCGTGTTTGCCTTTCTTTAAAATATGTCATTCTATTTCCTGGGTCAATACTAAAGACCCCCTACTTAAAGCTAGTACATTAGTTTATAAATAAAGTTTCAATTCCTCTTGACAGAAAGGAAAAATGTAGCTGCATGTGTTTCTGGTCTCAAAGATAACTTGTCTTTATCTTCTGTTTTCAGAAGGTCAGCATGGCCAGGCAGTGGTCTGAAGGCCACTCCTCATCCATCCTGTGTGTTGGGGCGTCTTCAGGCCTCGAGGGTCTCCTTGCCTCGGGCTCTGAGGGCGGAGAGGTCACGGTCTGGAGCCAAGAGGGAACCATCGTAGGCCGTGTCACACTCCCTGGTGAAGACGACTGCACGAGTGTTGTGTTTGGACCTGCTGCTCCAGGTCAGCTGTACGTGTCGCATGGAGATGCCGTCAGCGTGCTGGACCCTCGAAACCTGAAGGGCCCCGTGGAGGAGTTTCATGGAGCAGGAGAAGAGGAGATCAATGCTTTGACAGTAAATGAGACGGGGTCAGCCCTGGCGGTGGCTGATGACTCTGGAGCGGTTCGGGTACTGGAGCTTCCCGGGGGAAAAGTGTGCAGGACTCTTCGTAGACACACTAACATCTGCTCCTCTGTGGCTTTTAGACCGCAGAGGCCCAATAACCTTCTGTCTGCTGGACTGGACATGCAGGTAAGGGAGAAGAGGGGGTGACATTGAATTTCAAATGTGTCCTGACATATCATCCACTTTAGTATCAACAGTATTTTTTTTGTTGTTGTTGCTTCAGGTGATGCTGTGGGGTCTGCAGAAGACACGCCCTCTTTGGATATTAAACCTCCAGGATGTAGCAGAGGAAGAAGATGATCAGCAGCAGCAGCAGCGTCCTGGCCAGCTGTTCAACCCGCCTCTGGTCCACTGTGTTTCTGTGGCCAGTTGTGGGAACATTGTGGGCTGCGCTGCAGAGGATGGACGTGTGCATCTGATGCGGATTGGCAGTGGATCTAAACTGGAACAGCAGGGAGCAGTTAAAGCCCACAGCCAGGGGGCCTCACAAGCTCACTTTGCGAGTTTCCTTTCCCATCCTTACTGGCTCGTTACCGGGGGGAATGATGGCCAGGTCGTCCTCTGGGAGCTCAGTAAGCACCCAGTAGTGTCTCTGGAAGTAAAGGCCAGCGCCCCAGCAGCTCCTCGCAGGAAGGGTAAAAGCAAAGCCAAGAGGAAAGAACAATCCCGGGACAAAGCAAAGACCCCGCCAAAGGGTGAGACTGAGAGGGAAGAAGCTGAGGGGGAGGATGAAGTGGCAGAGGCAGCAGCAGCAGGAGCAGAGGAAGAGACGGAGAAGTCTGGGCTCAAACTCAGCATCAGTCACGGGGACAAGGTGAACTGGTTGTGCCCCGTTGTACTGAAAGGAGAACCCAGCGTGGTGGTCGCAGATCAGAGCTCCAGTCTGACAGTCTACCCTCTGTCCCCAATGTAGAGTTATTCTCTGCACAACATGCTCTGGTCTATTTAATTTGCCTTATTATTAGTTTACAAGCTTGTTAGATCAGCAAACACTCCTCTATATTTCATCCTGTTAGAAATGGTAACCTAATTATTTGGACTTTGATCTTCTTATTGGCATCATGTTGTCACACGAGGTTTATCTCTCTTATAATAAAACTTTGATTGTGCAGGCAGAAACCCACATTAACGGCTGTTTTAAACCAGTAACCCTCACTGAAGCATACAAAGGTTACAAAAGTCTCATTTGTCTTGAGTTTTTACACAATACGCAACACAGTTTATGCGTAACTGTTCATGGGGGTGCTATTTAAATGCGAGCTCTACTTATTAAATGTGGTTAATAAGGGCTTTTAAATGTGTGTGTGTGTGGGGTCCTATAGTCCTTTGAAATGTGTTTCACTGAATGCATTTTTGAAGGACTGCCAAACCACCACACAAGAGAAAAGAGAATCTACTTAATCCAAATGAGACAGACAGAATTTTAATCAAGTTCTTAGCTATTCACAAAGCATTTATCAGGCTTGAGACACGTGAAGCATCTTAAAGACAGCCACATGTCTACGTTTCATAGACAGACACAGTCCAGATTTCAATCTGTATGTGTTGATGATTGAAACATGCTTGCTGCTTGTTTATCCTCACAAGCTTAATGTGTTACCCATGGGGGCAAGTGCATGTTTTGAAGGGGGAAAAAAAAGGAACATTGTGCTTATTAATCAATTTGCGTCATCAAAAACTTTTATATTGTCAATTTTCAAACAAGCCAGACAAGTACAAACATACACGAAATCCTAAATCCATACATTCAATGCAAATGCATTGTATTCACGCAACACTTTCAGACAAAGTTCTTTCTTACAGATAGGCAGAAAACTCTCTTAATACCAGAAGAAAAAAAAAAAAGGCACATGGCTGACTTCAATAAATGCAATTCCCTATCTCTCGGCTATCCGTCTTATCAAGCAGCTTGTAAATCACGCTAGCTTAAATTTAAAACAGAAATGTTGAAACTCTTGTGACCTCTTCAATGATTTAAATTGAATTTATGAACAGCAATTGTTGTAGTTGATGAAAATAATTTAAACTATATATATTTTCCAAAAATGCCCAAAAAAAAAAAAAGCACTTTTGAGGCGGATGTTCACAGCAGGATTGACAGAATATGCACAAAATCATTACCAGCACTGCAAAACAACCCGGTGATCAGCGGTGCCTTTTCATTACTTTAACTTTGGAGTCCTTTTGGTGTGTTCGATTCAACGTGTTCCATGCTCCTTCACTGTCATGTCATTTTAAGCTTTACAGCCAGCGCATCTACGACCATGTTTGACTGGTGACTCCTGTCAAATATATCCTCCAATGAGATACATCTGTCATCCCTCCTTTGATTAGGTTATGTCGATCTGTGGTGTGTGTCTTTGAGGGAAATTCTGCCCTAGGATGATGTTGCCGATTTCACAGTTTAGCCAGACTCTTCTCCAGGCTCTCCATGTCTGCATCCCCGTCTTCACCCTTGCCGCCACGGGCGCTGCACTCCAGGAACTCAACCTTCATAGGGAGCTGGCTGAACTCAAAGTCCTTGCCTTTTTTCCCCAGGTACATATTTCCGCCTACAGAGCCGTCCTGAGAGCTCAGAGCGGCAGAGTGTGTCACTCGCAAGGTGTTCCTGAAAGAAGCAGGACAGGTTGAGGCTTTACAAATCTGAATGTTTACATTTCTCCAGAGGATTGGTAGACCTTTCTGTTGAAGAGATTATTAAGACTTGACTTCTTACAATAAGACTCAGTTGACTCAGATGGCTTACGTTGATGACAAGTTTAAGATGAATACTCGTGAGGAGACATGATTCAATATCACACTTCTGTTCTCGTGTCTTGCTCAATCACATCTGCAGAACTTCTCGAAAGGCATCGCATATATCCCAAAAGACATTATCATTATCAGGGTCGTGTCACATTGACCCACCTAGACTAATCTGTGACGTCTATAACACTGGAGCAGACAATAAGTCCTTGCAGATATCAGGAAGAACAGTTGACACTCTCTAAGCTGTACTTGTTGTTCTAATAACAGCTGAACTCTGTCAGGTCTGACTGACACTAGAGAACAGTGAATAAACCTCATGACATCTGTACATTATAATCTAAATAACTACAGAAATTCCATCACAATTTCAGTTCCCACTTCAAGTATCCTAGAGCTAACCAGGCTGAATCCAAAACGCTCCCAACCAGGTGTAACAGATATCATGCACAGAATCAAAGCCCAAATATTCAAATACTTACAATTCCTTTTCAAGCTGCTGCTGGATCAGTTTAGCTGATTTAGCCATGGTGATATCTGCAACGTGTATAGAGACCAGTAAATTGTACAATGACAGATAAGCAAATTCAGGTGCAGGCTGAAATAGAAGACCAACAGCCAAAGTGCAGATCATTTAAAAGCAAAAGTGTTGTTGGACCTTGTTTGTTGCATGCCACCAGGAGAGTCGGGGCGTTCCTCGAGATCACGGCATCGGTCAACAAGATGTACAGGAACTCTGCCACATCTCTCACTTCCTTCTGGAAGATGGCGCTGTCCACTACGTACACAATCGCCCTGGGAAGACACCAGAAAAAGGGGTAAACGATAATGAAAGTGGGATCTGTGACAGGAAACTGTATCAGACAAACAAATGGAAGCACGTGAAACCTTTGAAGCTTCGTTGTCCTCACCTGGCAGCAGATTTGAATTTCTCCAGGTACTGAGGGCGAAGACTGTCATGTCCTGGCAGGTCTATCAGAGTCCAGGTGCTGGCCTACGTACAGGAGGGAGAGGACGACTGTACACCATGCCCATCATGACAGGTTAATGTTGGAGATAATAGTTAAGTGCGCTTTATTTACCCTGTCGTTTCTGGCTTTGTATGGAGCACTGCTGTCAGTGATGGAGGTCTGGGTGCGCTTGAATTTTCCTGACAACAGCTGCAAAGACATAGAATCATTTAAAAAGCAGGTTATTACCAAGCATCAGAGTAACACCCCGTAATGGACAACGTGGCCATGGAGTGGGGGGGGGGGGGGGGCCACGTTTTGGTAACATAACACTGACCCGGCTGAACAGGAGGGTTTTCCCAGAGTCACACAGCCCGACCAGCAGCACAGCACTTCTGACAGTTTTACTGGAGAGGAAATACTTCAGAAAAACTGCAAGAAAAAAAAAAAAGAGAATGACATGTGTTATTAAAATAAATATATATATATTGCATGCCAAATGCAATGACTCTGTAAATCTGGAGAACTTCCGGGAGGCTCGCTGACAAATTGTGCAAGCTGTTGACGTTTGCTTCAGCTTAGCCATTATCGTCCTAACTCGCCAAATTAGCCTTTTTTTTAAGGCAACTTTTATTATTATTATTATTATTAATATTACTTAGTCGACTGTAAGTTACAATGCAGAACTCCAGCCTATGCAAGTAAAAGTAAACGCCAGAGCTTTGCACGTTAAGCTCAAATGTTAGCATGCTAACTCCTCACCGCATGTGATGACAACAACCGCCAAAGCGACGACGACTGCGATGAGAAAAACCGGATCCTGATCCTCCAGCTGCTGACGGAGAGAGTCGATGAAAGGCTCAAGTGGGTTTTCTGCCTTTTCTGCGTCTACTTTCTCCTCCATGTTGCCAGTGGTGCTGTCTGCCTCCATCTGTCCGCCCAGGCTAATCTCTTGACTGGGACACGTCTCCTTCCTCCTGCAGCCTGTGCAGGGCCTGTAGGGTCAACAGGGGGCGCTGCAGACCAGGAGGAGGAACCAGTGGGTTACTGTGGGACAAGTGTGGACCCTAATATTTACAGTCTGTGGGTGGGACCTCACAGCAGAACAATGTAGACGCCTACTACTTTTGTTTTTTTCCATTTTGGGCATTATTGAAAATAAATAATATCACACTCAGTTTAGTAAACAGCAATGATAATAAGTTGGATAGATACAACTTTTACTCAGTAAGTCACATTTATGAGATAATATGAAGCTATCTATTCAAAAGTACACTCAGTTTACTGCACATTGCACATATTGCACAAGTTTACTTTATCTTTACATTTTATTTCATTTCATTTACCATTTTGTACCTTTTGCACAATTTAGAATTTATTACTGTAAATATTATTTATCTTATTTTACCTCATTTTATTTATCTTATTTTATCTTATTTTACCCTATCTTATTTTACCTTATCTTATTTTATTTTGCCTTATTTTGGTTGTATTGCACTCCGTGGGACGGAGACAAACGCAATTTCGATTCCACTGTATGTCTGGCATATTTTGAAATTGACAATAAAGTTGACTTTGACTTTGATATGCCAAACACATGGCTTTCTGAGTGCAACAATGAGGTAGGAGAGAGACAGAAGTTGATGTGATAAATCCAAATGGTGGCTAAGTTGATTAAAGTTATGAAGTGTTTTGTATAAATCCACATTAAAAGACAGTGTTCATGTACTGTTGATTGAAATGTTTGTTGTGTATTCAGTTCATTTATTCAGATAAAGGTTCAATAGCCACTCTGTTGATCAGCGTTTGTGCTTTTTTTATAAAATCATTTACTATAGCTGGCAAAACTGTCAGATGTCACTGCTATCTTTCTTTAACCCATTGGCTTAGAGACAGGCTCAAAATAAATCTGTTGGGTCCTGCTTAAATAAATCATCAGTTTGGGAGTGACCTGAATAGAGACAGAGATACAAGATATGAAATGGGATCTATGTGAAAACCAAATCGTCGAGATTTCCGTTCGGGACCAGATGCGCTTTTACGCACTCCGTTCACATTCCGCGCGCTTTTTTACGCACGCTGGATATTTGACTCCTCGGTTCTCGGCACGATGTCAAACGTCAGTAAAGAGCATTATTCTATAGGAGCAGGCTGTGTGTCATTCATTTTGGGCTTCTGAGAGGGACCGTTTGTTTCTCGTCGCGGGGGATGAAATGACAAACCTATTAAGGGCTTCGCTTGTGTTTGCTTAGACTTTCTTTCCACGTTCCTTTAAATCTGTCAAAGACGGATTTAAAACTTCAGGATTCGCTACAAAGCCGGCGGAAATATATCTTTCAATCAAAATAAGACCAATCGAAAGGAGATGATGATGTCTTTCCCGTTCCTTTACGCGCTGTGCATGTGGATGAGTTTAGTGTGTCCTTCGTTGGGAACAGGGTTTGTGTATCGCTTTCCCGGCATCACTGTGCAGCGGCAGCGGATCAAATCGGAGCAGAGCGGCAACTCGGGACCACCAGGCACCAGGTCAAGCAACCAACTCAGGTGAGCTCACATGCACGTCGCTTTTGCCATGGGAAGAAACATTTGAAGTGTGTATGTGTGTTGCAGCTCTATCAAACTGTCACACAATTGTTTTAGTTTTTTAGGGTTTGTTTAAGTTTGACACTGTTTCACACTCTAATGTGGGATTTCAGTTATTTCGTCTTAATTTTAAATGTGAAATCTTATTTTCTATTTTAGGAACTGGTGTCAGTACACTGTTTCCAAAACAGTCTCCTGTCAGGTGCACAATGGGACAGAAACCTCAGTGCAGAGAGTTTTTCAGGGATGCCGATGGCCCGGACCCTGCTCCAAAGTCATCAGGTACCCTCAAAGTTCCCTCTGATGACCCCCATTCAGCCAGATCCAGGTCTCCTGTCAGCTCTGTGATTTGTTAGGGATTCTGATCCTGCTTTGTTTTAGAGAATCACTCATAGCAACGTTACCTCAGGGACAGATCTCTGCCCTGCTATGTTTTCTCCCCTCTTCGAAGTTAAAAGATTGTATTGGTACTGGTTAAAGATTATTTCTCTCAAATCTCATCTCTGTTCAAATATTCCAAAACTCTTTTTACTTTCTTTACTAAAATTTAAAAAAAATGGCGGGATACTGTCACCAAATGAAATCTAAATGGACTTAAATTCTTTAAAGGTTAACAGAAGGGCCAACTCCCCCCCCAGTAGAACTGGATTAGAAGCATCAGTTTGCATAAACAGAAATATTCAACTAAAGTAGCCTTTATGTAACTACATCATTCCTGTTTCAGATCTAGTCTGGGACCTTTTGTGTCTTTCTCATTCCTTCATTTCTGTCCTCACATGACCTGACGCTGTAAAAATGCCTCACAAAAACAAGAAAAGAGGATACTAAAAGTTGATATTTGCCAGGTTGATCATGTCTGTGAATTAGTGTGTGTGTAAAACAACATGTCCCTGAAGTCAGTGACCGTGTGTTGTTGTTGTTTTTTTCAGCTACAGGACCCTGATCCGGCCGTCCTTCAAGGTGGCCTACAAGCAGGTCACTGCACTGGAGTGGAGATGCTGCCCGGGGTTTGTGGGAACAGAGTGTCGTGAGGGTAAGTTTCTTATCTATACTTTTTGATTCTTTTTTTTTTTTCACATGATGTAACTCTCTTAAATCCTGTCAGGGACTGAAATAAAGGCCGTCTGTTCATCTGTGTCTCTTTATCAGCAGCAGGCAGCTTTTACCCACATCACTCACTTTTTTATGTTTTGTGGTGTGTGGTCAAGTAACTGGCAAACCGTGCTTCTGTGCAGGGGGTTGGCCTTTGATATAACTGTAGAGTTGTTTTGAATTAAGATTGAAGGCCTGTTTTATTAAGCGCAATTAATGCTGCACTTGAAAGGGATCCTGTTCTCTGTGGTTTTGTACCTTCTCTTTTACAGCTGTGCATTCACACCTTCCTGTTCAAATTTGAATCCGTAAATTTCTCCCTTTGTATTCTCTGTACATGTACACACACACACACACACACACACACACATACACACACACACACACACACACAGACACATGTACTACTACACTGTGAACTGTTGATATCACAGAGGCAGTTTTTCCTTTCTCTCTAAATACCATTATGGCTTTAACAGTCAAAAGAATGGATGAAAAAATCTGAGCGGCTCGTCCAGAGGAGCAGCTTGTAAAGTGGGATGTAGTCTCGCCCGCACTGCTTCTGGATACCACACACCGCAGGCTGGGATGCCAGTAAAGACAAGCATTTTCACCCAGGGGCGAGCCACCATGGTCAGCCTGAAGAACCAGAACGATAGAGGGTTTGGCAGTTTAATGTCAGGTTCTTTATATATATTTATGTCATAATGTGTCCACTGGTTGCAACCACACTGACAAACATGTTTTCACAGATTGTATTTTAAACATCTTGGAAGCATGTTAACGAGAGTCTAAGGCCGCACAGGCTAAAAAACTGCGATTCAAAAAAGCTTTTTTAACGTCTTTCTTTTTCAAATCTTTGAGTTCAGCCTAGCATCTTGGTAGGTTTTCTTTTCCAGCGATTTGGGTGTGATGAAAAACTTTGGCATGGTCTGCCTAAATTTCTCCAACATTAACAGTTACCTCAATGAGCACGTTTTGTTATTGGTCATAATTACAGCACCTTGTTCCATTTAGCAGAATTATTCATTGTTGCACTTGGAACGGCAAAAATCACCACAAGTTAAGAAAATACACATGAATACTAATGGAATAAACACAGACATTATGAGAAAGCATTTTGGAAACCATTATTTGCCCAGTCATGGATATTATTCCGCACAGAAATTAAAACATCCGCTGAGTCTGTAATGCCGGAGATTATGGTTCACTTGAGAGCAAAGTGGTTGCAGGAGTGTGAAGAAGTAATCTGGCTGTTTATTTAACGCGTGCTGAAATGTGTTTGCAAGTTCTAATAGCTGTGGAGGGAGAGCGAGCGAGAGAGAGAGAGAGAGAAAAGGAGGAAAATTGCCTCCATATGGAAGAGACAGAACTGAGGAGACCTTAAAGACAGAGGCTGACGTCAGTGCACAGTCTGCTTCACACCGAGGAGAGGAGGGGGAGCTGGCAGGAGGTCAGTGTGTCAGAGTGAGAGAAAAAGAGGACAGAGGGGAGAAAGTTAGGACGAGTGCGCAGAAAACAACAAGGTGTTAGAATTGGAAGAGGCCGTTAAGCGAGAGAAAAGTGTAATGAGGAGAGAGTCTGTCCCACAGGGCTCCTCCAGCTGCTCCGAGCGGCCCAGACAGCAGCGGAGCAGAGAGCCGGTTCTGTGGGAAAGTGGCCCCACAGAGATTAACAAGCATGACACTCCTCCGGCGGCTCTCTGTAACAAACGTGACCAAGCTCAGATCAGGCTTGGAAACAAAGATTGGTCCCACTCATGTGGATTAAAGTCAAGGAAGTCAGCTACAGTGCAAATGCATATCAGGAATTCTTTAAGACTCAAAGGTGTGTTTTTTCTTATACTAATGTTCCCTATAAAATGAATGACCTTATCCATACTGAGCTGTATGCTTGCAAAGTTTGTTGTCGGAGAGTTGTTTTACATTCCTCTTCTGAAGCGGTAGATGTCTGTGCACTAAAATCTCAGATTCACACACCCCCATGCATGCAAGATTTGGTTCATGTCCATAGAAAAATAACTGTGGAGTGAGCTGAACTTAACAAAAGATAGGAAATCTTGATATGAATAAGTGTTTTAAGTGTTTGTCCTAAAACACCCCCTCTGATTTACAGACATCTCTTTCACAATTTAAGATGATGCCATGGGTGAGAGGCCTGATTTACAATTTCCCTAAAGCCCTTTTCATACATGCACTCCCACCATTTCTAGAAGATTTTAGGACAGCCTGAGTTTCTTTATATTCACACATGAGCTTCACAAGCTGAGATTTGGGCTGTCGATCACAATGGGGCTCTCAGAAGTCATATCATAAAAAGGACGCTAGCAGAATTAACAATTTAAAGTTTTCTATCAATGCTACATGTGATTGGATTTATTCACAGTTTCAACGAAAGAGTGGATTGAAGAGTGATTTGTATCTGTTGTCTAAAACATATAGGTTGGTCATTTCTCTTTTTTTGTATGTCTCAGTTCTGGCTCTGATTCTTGATAGTTATAATGTGTTGAGTACGGACATGTTACTGTTGTTTTTTATCATTTGGTTATTGGAGCTGGACTTATGATGAAACTAAGTAACACATGTACTACAGAAATATTCCCTTTGGCATCATCATAAAGATCTGTTTTAATTTACTTTGGCTATGTAAAAAACATGGAGCACAATCTCTCTCCTGTCTGTCTTAAGCGGCAGCTACAGTTTGAGATGGCTAGCTTAGCTTAGCAAAGGGACATCATGGAAGGCAATGCTCCTGGCAAACAAGATATAATCAGATATAATGGGTTGATCAGTGATTATTTTTATTTTTTTTACAGAGCAAGACCATTTGTTTTCCACTGTTTTCAGTCTAAATGCTAAGCTAACTGCATGTTGCTGTGTGAGCTTTATATCTTCTCTACAGACTTGACAGTGGAATTGATCTTCTATCAGCAGGAAAGCAAATTAGCCATTTTTGTTTCATGTCAAACAAGTCTTTAAGGGTGGGTAGTTTTGTTTAGAAGCAGAATCCTGTGTGTGTGTGTGTGTGTGTGTGTGTGTGTGTGTGTGTGTGTGTCTATGTCCATGTGTTTGTGTATGCATAGCTCTGTATCTTTATTTCACTCAGCCAACACTTTATGAAGCTCTGTAGGCTCGGAGCCAGCTGCTTCTATCAGAGCCAGAGAGGACAGCCTTAACCAATGAAGATGACATCACCTCTGGTCCTGGTTTGATGGGGTTCTGGCTCCACTTCAGAGGCCCTCAGAGATGTAGATAAAGATTCATAAAAAAGGCTCGGGTTAAAGTTAAGCCTTTTTAAGAATAGAAGATGCTTGATTCTCTCACTTCTTCACGCTCTCGCTCCATGTTTTCATCCCCTGGGATCCTGAATGGTTTTCTGAATGGAACGTCTTTCTAATCATCATTTACAGCAATTTAATCTATTTATGATTAACTTAGAGAACACATTTGTTTGCTGTTCTTATATCAAATCGTACTCTTGACTAATACAATGATGGCACATGGAAACTAATACAAGGATTTAAGTTGCCTTCAAGCTGGAAATCTGACTATTTTTGATCACTCAACATTCCACTGGAACATGTGGTCTTGCAGTCGAGGTAATTGGGATAAGCCTGCATCAGCTTTTCTTGTTTTTTTTCTTCCCCTGAACAAATACTTGTGCAAACTCTCTGCAACAAATTCTAGTCACAGCTCTAAAAAAATGTTGATGTTCACATTTTCATTTGGACAAATTTGAACAACTGATGCTCTAGTTAGTCAGTTTATTCCATTGAGTTACTGACTTAGCTTTCACCCTCGCTTGCAGAGTGTGAATATTTCTGTGTTAACTAATGGAAAGTGGGCGTTTTCGGAACACATGTCTTTGACGCCCTGACCTGTCAATATATTTGACAGTCTGGTTTGTGCTGGCCGTGTACAGTGCATCTCAAGATTTACATTTTGCTTTCAGCAGAGCTGTGCTAACACATGACGGCATGGAACATATTGAAACACATTTGGGAGAAATGTGTTCGTAATTTCCCTGCCATTGCCTCCCCGCTCCCCCCCCACCTCCCCCTTTCCCAATCTGTCACAGCAGCAAACCAGCACCTATCTGCACACATGATCATATTAACTGTAAGGATTGTGGGTAATGTCTGTGTGCGAGGAAGCCTCATCCAAAAATAATAAGTGCCAGGACCTCCTCCGATGACAGCAGTAACCTTTGATGTCATGCAAACTCTCAGGAATAGAGGTTTAAGAAAGCTTAATGCTTATGTGCCAAAACGCCACCCTTTAAAGCAAAGTTAAAGAGGAATTTAATTAAAGAAGTGAAAAGTTGGCTGAAAGCTTAGGATGTCAAATGTGCTAATTTGTTAATGCTGCAGCTATGAAGCCGCTTTTCCTCTGCAGCCATAAGAGGAGGAAGTAACGGAAGTGTGTTAAAACCCATTGTTAGAGGGATTATCTTGAACACGAGCTATAATATATCATTCTAAGGTACCTTCCCTCCACTTTTTCCACGTTATCATTTCATCCCGCTGCAGGCATTTGCTGTTTTGCCCTCTCCATGTCCTTGATTTTTTTCCCTTTCCACTGCCAAGCTCTTTATCTTCCATATTCTTCGCTGCCTTCTAACTTATCTAACTTCCTGTCCTTTAGATCTGCCGCTCTCCCCTCCTCGGAGTAAAGTGATAAAACAGAACCATATCCCATATGTGCAGCCTCCACGGTGTGAGGATATGACTGATGTCTCTGTTACGTCCCTGGCTCTGCTCAAATATAGGTCAGAAGGTGACTTTTGACCTGCAGGGAGCTATGGGATAACTCAGCTGTTCCTAGTCCCGGGTCTGATCTTCCTGATGGATGAGGATCTATCTGTTCATTCTCCTGTGGTTTTTCATTTCTTTCAGCAGCTTATCATTGAGGTTTTCCTGCCTCCATTAGTCCCCCTGTCTCC